CCTGATAAGACATAGATCATCTTCCGGAGAGGTCCTGTTCCTCTGATGGGTTGGGAGACACTCTCTCTAAGCTGGATGGTATTGACCTCCTGCTCAGGAATCAAGTCCAGAAATTGGGAGTAATCCTGGATTCTCAGGTGGCAGCTGTGTCCAGGTTAGCCTTGAATCAACTGAGGCATATTGCCCAGCTCTGCCCCTTGCCTGACAATGGTGCCCTCAGAATGTTAGTGCATACATTAGTGATCTCCAGGGCTGACGATTGCAGTGCTTGACATGGATATTGCAGCAGGTCCAAAATGTGGCAGTCAGACTTGTTGCAGGTATGAGCAGCTTTGATCACATCTCACTTGCACTGACTTCCAGTTGCATCCCAGATCAAATTCAAAGTATTCATGCACACCTATAAAGCTCTTGACAGTTTGGCACTATGTTACTTAGTGGTGCATCTCTCCCCAAAGTCTTCTGCCCATATCACCAGATCTTCACAGGCCATGCTCCTTCAAGTAGCCAAGCTGAAGGAGGCGAGACACTTTGGCAAGAGTCCAAGCCTTCTCAGTGGTGGCCCAACTCTTTGAAACCCTTTTCTGACAGAGCTACACCTGGCTCCCTCCCTCTCTAATTTTAGGAGGCTGCTGAAGACTCACCTCTTCCAGGAAACTTTTGATGGCAGCTTCCCCTGATCTTGCTAATCTTTTATTGATGTCCAGTTTTACTGCACCATCTGGGTTTACACCTTTGTCCGTTTTCTATTTGTTTGTTGGTTGCCTATTATGATTGATTATGGCATTTTGCTTTTTATCTTGGTTTTTATATACCCCAACTCAGAATAATGGGAGGGAGGGATCAGATAACGTCTATTGAGATTTCATAATCTATGGAAATTTGTTCCAAAACTTACACTGTTTGCAAAACTGCCCAGCAGAATTTCAGCCAATAATGGCTGTGTGTTTGCTAACTACAGTGCTGCTGCGTTTCACCTCCAGTTGTATGATTTTTAAGAATGAGCAAGTTTATCACCATAATTGATAGATTTTAAAGTAAATGGCAGCTGCTTGGTGTACACATTCTCAGTAAGACTCTTAACCTAAAAGTCAGAGTGCTTAATATGATGCAATTTGGTTAACTGTTGTATATGTGGATTATTTGAAGAATACATGAGTATTAGTTTGAAGATTCTTAGAATTAGGTGGCACTTTATTAAGGAGTCTGTGATGAATATGGTCAGAGGCCATGTAAATATTTTACAAAATTGCTGTCATTAAGAGCAGCAGTCTATGTGGAATTCAATTATTTAATGTTCCAGTTGGATCATCAAAGAGTTATTTTGAAATATTTGGTGGTTATGCTCATTATGGTGAAAGCAGTAGATTATTTGTGACTCAGCTGAAGGTAGTAAATATATCTCGATATGAAAGTAGGGGGAATTATAGCAAGAGAAGCAAGATAATGTTGTTTCTGTCCTGTATGTTAGCTGTTCAACTGTCTTTGGTTTTCCTACTGTTTTCATCCCTGTTTGTTTTTATGTGTCTTCAATTAACAGGAAAACAGTAACAATAATTTCTAGTCTCTGTGCACCAGTTTCTATTGTAATTCAAGCTGTCATTATGGTATATATACTTTTTCATGCACTAGAAGTTATTGCTTTTTATAACTATAGTACTTTTTATTGCATTCAGGACTTGCTTTTGTAAGTGGGTAGGCATACCTGGGAATTTTTCTGTGCACACCAGACATGCCTTAAAAGCAAATTGATAACATTAATCTATGTATAATGTGTAATGGATTTTTGTATAATCCATTTCTTTCTGAGAGGAAGAATTCTAACATGATCTTTGAATACCAATTTCTGATTTGGCCATTTTTTTTGGAAGTAACATTCTAGAACATGATTCAGATATTGTATTCATTGGATCAATGAACTCAAATTCAGAAAACACCTGATGAAAGTGGTAAAATTAATTTCTGATGTTATGTTTTAGTTGTGGATTTGGAAAGATAAATTATGGTTACCTTAGAATCCCCCTAAATGACAGTCACATTGACACATTGTATTGAGGGATCACATTTTTTTCATCACATTTGTACAGACTAAAATCAGGTATGAACAATATCCTTATAGCACAATCTTGACCTTATCTAGTCAAAAGTAAGTCTTAAGGGATTGTATGCTTGTCTCTTTAGAAGAAAGAGAAGAAAGAAGTAGGCCAGACTCATATTCACCGATGCAATCACACAAGTGTTCTCTCCCATTGGCAGGGTACAACTCTATATGTGCCTCTCTTGTGAAAATGAGCACATAAAGGGCCACCTTCTGAAAAAGTGCAGGATTGCACTTATATACATAGTTCTTTTCAACTGGATTTGCAATCATTGTCTCCTACCAGCCAGAAATGCTTGGTTCATATTTTCAATGAATGTGCAGGTTTATACTGTAATCGTCTAATCTTAAAACTGAAGAGCTGGAAGGGACCCTATATAGATCATTGAGCCCAGTCCCTGTCAGGGAGGCACAATGGGGGATAGAACTCCCAACCTCTGGTTCCACAGCCAGATATCTAAACCACTGAGTTATGAATTTCAGGTGGCAGTTTTTGAGAATCTGAATCACTTTTAAAGGCCTGTTAAAATCATCATTGTTAAAATGGTGTACTGAAACAACTTACATAATCATATCTACTGTAGTGCATCCATTATGGTCTGGTTCTTATTGACTGATATGACTTTCTGAACAGACTTCCACAATAAAGGTATCCATGTAATACATTGTGACCAAGCAACATATTAAAATTAATGTGGTACTCAATTTTAAGGATGATCTCTTTAACTTCTGTGAAATTTGTAAATCCTGTTCTTTTAAACTGTGTTTTAATAATCCTCTGGAATGATTTTTTTCCAGCATCATTGTATCCCTAATGTTCTGTTATTTAAATCCCTTTAAATTTGTATTTGTTCTTTCACAATTTTTCCTTTGTCACCTTATGTCAAGAAACTGGGATATAAGAAACAGGAACTTTAGCTGCTTATGGATTTAACTTGTGTTTGTAAAGTGTTTGATATTGACAAATGTTTGTAAGGCGTTTGATCTGGGCAAATGATTATAAAATGTTTGATCTGGGCAAATGGCAATGGGAGTTGAGAACCCCATTTCAAACAAAAGTTGGCTTGGAGTTCCAGGCCAGGGCATTTCCAAGGGAATTTCCAAAGCTTCAATTTCCTGACCTTAAGGCAGACAGTGTAAGCAAAAGGGGAGAAAAGGCAACCAGGAGAGTTACTAATTACTGTATCTGTCTATGTCAGAAGAAATTGAGGAAGTGGATTAGGATGTCAGGCAGCACCAGGCCTGAAGCCATTTACCATTTGAAAGAAAGATGTTAAACTATTGCTGAGGAGAAAGTAGGCTGACCTGACCTAGAGAAGTAAATTAACTTCACACTCTGTCTCTGCTGTAGGGCTTCACTCTAGACTGGGAGTGCTCAGCCATAAAATACCCAGTTATGATAGCCTGAGAGTTTGTGTTTTTCTTCCCATGCGGAGTTGAAGGCCAAGAACATCTGGAGGGCCACAGTTCGACACCACTGGCCTAGAGTTTGTGTTTTTCTTCCCATGTGTGTGAAATTTCATGCTTAAATCCAAAGCCCAAGCATTTTCTCTGTGTTATTTTTCCATGATTTTGAATTTACCTTCTATGCTTGTGTTTTGTTCTTTGTTTCTTCTTTTTTAAATAAAATATACAGTAAAATTTCCTTGCCTTGGAATGATCTTAGAAAATGACAGGCACACAAGGTCCTAAATCCAGAATCTTACCACTTGGGCATCTACTGAACATTTTTGTCTGTTTTGCATATTAGTCCTGATAAAATTGGGGGGGGGCGGTTTGGCAGTGAACAGTATTGACACCCCCAACAGTATTGGAGTGCGTGGCAGTAAAAAGAAAAACACACACACATACCTTTGAGAGTTTGGTAGATTTTCCCCTCCATTACCTTCCTGGCCTCAGAAAAAGATTCAGGGACTACCAGGCGAAAACTCCAAAGGAACATGGGGTTTGTGACACCTTATTTGTAAAGATTCTTCTAAATGGTTTTTGAGATTGTGAATTTAATTCAAGCTCAGTTAAAACAGAATGAAGTTTATATTATGAAAATTCATTGTCATAAGGCAGTGATTGTCAAACTGGGGTCCCCAGGTGTTCTTGGATTGCAGTTCCCAGATGCCTTCACCACTTGCTGTGCTAACCAGGATTTTTGGGAGTTGCAGTCCAGGAACATCTGGGGACCCAGGTTTGAGAACCACTGTCATAAAGTGTAGTGAAAGCCTCCAGCTTGGACAGTTTTTGAAGAAGACTGGACAACTTCATAGTGGATAGGGCTCTCAGTTGCTACCAATAATAACTTCAGTTTTAGAGGCAGTATGCCTCTGAATGCAACTGCTGGACAGTCCAAGAGGGAAGATGTTGCACCCATGTCCTTTTCTGGGCTTCTGTAATATTTTTCCTTTGACTATGGGAGCAGAACATCAAACTAGATAGGCCTTTTGATCTACCCAGCTTGGTCCTCCTTACACCCTTCCATTCTTACACCTAATTTTTGTCAGACATTCTTGTGGTTACATGATCCACATGGCAACTTATTAATTAAGCTGCCCAGAGACCTTTGGGTAGTGTGGGCGGCATATAAATTAAATAAATAAATTAAATAAATAAATAAACAATGTGTAATTAAAAGAGTGCGTAACATTTCCTTGCTAGGTGTGTAACACTGAAATAGTATGTTATGCAGATATGTATTTATTCATCAGTAAGACCTATCTCACTGAGGTTTATTCCCAGGTGAGTTGGTACAGGATTGTAAGCTAAACTAAGATGTTTTTAATATTAAAATAATATGAAAATAGGCAAAGAAATGTCTTGCCTGTTTTGATGCAACTGTACTTATACTATGAGATTAAAGTGTTGCTGTATTTTAAATTTGTTGAAACTTACATAAGATATTTTTTTTCAGGCAAAATGATCTTGCAGAAGCTCTTGAGGAAGGTGGTTGTGATCTTGAAACAGTTAGAAACATCATCCAAGGGAGACCTATACCTGATGATCTTAGAGCCAAAGTCTGGAAGGTGAGGATTTGATGTTTTATTGGAAGTTTTTATTGGAAGGGGATAATTTGTATCAGGGTTCTATGTCTCTTTCTCTAAATAGCCATCCGCCCAGATAGGCTTCCTTTAAACTATCAGTACCACTGATGGTTTAAAATTGTCATACTATCAGTGCCACTTAATTATCCTTAGAACAGCAAGTGCTTAACATGATGCAATTTTGTGGATTTTAAAAGAAGACCAATAAATCAAAAATACCTAACAAACTTTGCAGTTGCAAACTCTGTTATTTGACATTTCATATTGTTTATGCCAAGTAAATATACATGTGGATAATTTTACAGTTAAATGTAACCCCAAGCTAGACATGATAGATATATCCATACACTGGTAGTCCAGATATTTTAAAGTGGAAACACAACTTCAGAAGATACCATTGGCCAAACAGAAACAGTGTGGGAATATGCCACCTATTCTTTTTCCTGCATTTTTTGTTTATTTGTTTATTGTATATCACTTCCTCCGACTCCTGTTCCAAAGTGCACATTTCTAGGAACAAACATATATGAAATTCTACATAGAGAAAAGGAGCTGGGGGAAAATGTGTTTTGGGGCAGAGAAGAAACAAATGGGAAATGGGGACCTGTTAAACATCACATCTCTTATCCCAGTCACACAAATCCAGAACCTTTAATAAGGGTGTCAGGGTACTGTTACATTTATCTCTATATACTACAGTGGTGCCTCGCTTAGCGACGTTAATCCGTTCCAGGAAAAACGTTGCTAAGCGATTTTTAAAAGCCCATAAAAACGCATTAAAACATGTTTAATGCGTTCCTATGAGCTTAAAAACTGACCTTATGCAAAGATCCTCCATAGGGGCGGCCATTTTCGGTGCCTCTAAAGCAAGGCAAAACAGCAGGTGGCCATTTTGTTTTTCCGGCGGCCATTTTGGAACCGCCGATCAGCTGTGCAAAAAGGGTCACTTTGCCATGATCGCTTCCCCACAATCATCGCAAAGTGATTTTTCCTCATAGGGGCCAGCGCTAAGCGATCGTTCTGGCGATAGCCAAAACCTCATCGCTCAACGGAGCGATCGCTAAGCGAGGCACCACTGTACTAGTTTGGTCCTTAAATTCAGAAATAACTGTTCACTGCTTCTTTAATGAATTCAGTGAAATCAGAGTGCTATACAGTGGGACCCCTTATCCATGGAATTTGTATTCACTTATTCACATCTGCAGTTTGAAAATATTAAAAATGTCAAAGGGAAAATTCCCCAATATATATATATATTTAACAATGAAGCTACCAGAACTGGCCACTAGAGGGAGACAGAGACCATGCTATGTACTGTATACTGTATAGCATTTGCAAGAGAAACAGATTTTTATGCTGTCATTACCAGAACTGGCCACTAGATGGGGGAAGAGATCATGCTATTGAAACTATTAAAATAGTGTCCCATGTTTTTCGGCATCAGCAGAGGGCCTTGAAACCAATCTCCTGCAGATACAGGGGGTCCTATTGTATATTAAAAAGTAAACATTTTCGAATTTCATTGCAACAGAGTAACATTCTTTGTTGCACATTAATATAATAAATAAACCTAGTCAGTTTATGAAAGGCTATGTTGAATTAAGATCCAAAGGTGAGGGTGGGTGTAACTTCTAGACTGCTAAACAAGTACAGTACAACCAGAAACTAGTTTTTGATCCATAGGGGTCTCGTGGTGCAGTGGTTAAACCACCGTACTGCAGCCAAAACTGTGCTCACGACCTGGGGTTCAATCCCAGGTAGCCGGCTCAAGGTTGACTCAGCCTTCTATCCTTCCGAGGTCGGTAAAATGAGTACCCAGCTTGCTGGGGGGGCAATGTGTAGCCTGCATAATTAACTTGTAAACCGCCCAGAGAGTGCTTGAAGTGCTATGGGGCGGTATATAAGCAGCACGCTTTGCTTTTGCTTTGCTTCATCAGGTTGGGCACCACCATGCGGTGTATGATGCAAGGAAAAAATACAAAATTTCTAGAACATTCATCGCTTCCAGCATTTTTGTTTACAATGTTTCTGAGATCAGGTTTAAAAAGAATATCATAAATACAGAGAAAAGCACTGAAAATCTTTGTTGGTCTCCCCTTTCCTTGTCTTTGTCTTTAGATTGCATTGAATGTTGCAGGGAAAGGAGATAGTTTGGCTTCCTGGGACGGTTCTTTAGATCTTCCAGAACATCCACTAATTCACAAAGATTGTCAAGAACTCGTTGGTAAGTCTGACCTTAACATTTAGATTACTAGACTAAAAACCTTGCGTACTGTATTCTGTTTGTTACAATTATCTCCTTGTCCTGCCCTTCTTTTGAGGTCTGTTTGAGTATAATCAGGTCTCCCTCTAACATAAAATTTTGTTACCTTAGTATTTAGGAGAGGATTTCATTAACAGGGTATCATTGCAGAGAAGGACCTTTATTGGCCTGTTCTTAAAGTATCCTAACACATTTGGACTTGTGTACATGAAAGACCACGTTTGCTTCTCATCCATCGGTATGTTAAGATCTTAGTTATAGACTTTTTGCTGTGGTTCCCAATTTCTGAAACGTCCTTTTCTGCAATGACACCCTGTTAATGAAATCCTCTCCTAAGGGAGGTTCAACTGTTGTATATTCTTATGTCATTTTGGTACCTGATAAAGGACTCCTTATTTTGCGAGACTTCTGTAGATAATCAGTAAATAGTTTCTAGTCTGCTCTTGTTTCTGTAGATATTCTGTGTCTAATATTGTTTATTTATATATTTAGTTGATTTCTATCCCGCTTTCATCTCTTGTGCAAAGGAATGATGTACCTGTTACTGATGTTCTTTTCTTTAAATAGTTTTCAGCAACTGCAATTGAGACTTATTTTTCAGCAACTGGAATTGAGATTAGCTTTTAACCAAAGGGTATGGTATCTATAAATAAATGAATATGGGCCATTATCATTTAGATGAAGATGTCTCTGCTTAATGGCAGTTTTATTTTGTGTAACTGGAAGGTAGTTAAGTGCCTAATGGATTTATTAAGGAATTCTTTGGTCACCCTCCCAGAGGACTTTGTACAAATATCTGTACAAAGTGATGCAGGGCAATAGAATATTTGAAGAGTATTTCACATCACAGGTTCAAAAGCGTTAATTCAGTTTGTCAGTGGGCTGTTAGTTATGCGTGACTTGCAACAGTTGCCAAATGAGCAACTGAGTAGGAAACTGAAGCTGCATGAAAATGTTGTGTAATTCTGAGTTACTGCATTGCAGTCCAAATTTTTTGGACTGAGTGGGTGAGTAGTGAAGAAGTATGAAAATAAATGAAAAAAGGTCAAGAAATTGTAAAACATGTTAAAGAACAAGATAAAGTAACACTGACTCTCCTTCTTCAGATAGAACTGTTGGGCAAATTCCCATAACTGATCTAAGATCAGATGGGCTCTGTAGGAGTATCCATGTGGCGCCAGTGGTCTTCAGTTCCTCCCTTCTCCTGTACAGCCCAATATTCCTAAAAAAAGGTTAACGTTGATGAAAGAACAAAGAATCATGTACATCCTAAATGTTATTTCTGTTGTGCCACTGGAAACTTTGTTGATTTTGATGCAATAGGCTAATACAACTATCTCTTTGGAAATTATTAGTGTTGATTGATGGTCTGCAGTAGTGGTTCCCAGCCTTGGGTTCCAAGGTGTTCTTGGACTACAATCCCCAGAAATCCTGGCCAGCACAGCTAATAGTGAAGGATTCTGGGAGTTTTAGGCCAAGAACACCTGGGGATGCAAGGTTGGGAACCAGCATCAAATGCAACATGAGAGATCTAGCTGGAAGAAAGAATGATCCAGGTGTCTTTGTGTAGAGGAGGGGAAGAGAGAGGAAAAGAGCAATATGGATACACCCAAGTGCCTCCTTGGATTCTAGTTACTACAGGGTGTAGGCATAGCATTATGGTAGCAACTTGTGGAAAGTACATAATCCCCCACCCCATACTCTCTTTCTTGTAGGGGTGTCAGCCTAATAGGTATCATTCATGAATTAGATAATAAATGTCACATTTCAATGTGCATGTCATATTTGTCTGCTTTCAGATCAGCTGTCAATCCCAGAGGAAGAGAAGTCAGTATTACGTTTAGATATTGAATCTGTGATTACCTTCTACTGTAAATCTCGTAATGTTACATACAGTTCTAATCTTAGTTGGACATATCTCCTCAAGCCATTGGTGCATCTTCAACTTCCACGAAGTGACTTGTACAACTGCTTCTATGCTATCATGAATAAATACATTCCAAGGTAAAGACAAATGTTCATATATAGACTATACAGTGGTGCCTTGCATAGCGACGTTAATTCGTTCCGCAAAAATCGCTGCAGAACGAAAACGTCGCTATGCAATATTAAAAAGCCCTTCAATGTGTTCCTATGGGCTCAAAGCTCACAGTTCAGTGAAGTTCCTCCATAGCACCACCATTTTCGGTGCTACTAAAGTGAGGAATCAGTCCCTAAACACAGCAGGTGGCCATTTGTTTACCCAGTGGCCATTTTGAAACTGCCGACCAGCTGTTATAAAATCATCACTTTGCGGTGATCGGTGCCCCAATCAGGGAAGCGATCATTGCAAAGCGAAATTCCCCTATAGGGAACATCGCAAAGTGATCGCAAAAAATGCGTCGCAAAGCGATTTCGTCATAAAACGAAGCGATCGTTATGCGAGGTACCACTGTATTTGGTATGTTGTATTTCTCTTAATTCCGTGCTTCAGTCCTCTTCAAAAAAATGGGGTTGCCCGACATCTTGTTTGCTTGATTTCAGATTGAAATAATTTAAATTATTATCAGTGTACCGGTATTTTTTTTCTGCCATGGTTGTGTAAAACAAAACTGCAGAATTTTCCTGATCTTTCTGAAGTAACAAATGCATATGAGTGCACTTTAAAATTATCTAAATACTTGTGAATTGCTTGCAAGTGTCATTACCGTGCCTCTTTTCATGAGTCCTTATCAATCTCCTTCTTTTAGGGACTGTTTGCAGAAAGGGAGACCATTCCATCTCTTTCGGTTGCTCCTTCAGTATCATGAGCCAGAACTCTGCTCCTTTTTGGACACCAAAAAGATGACACCAGACTCATATGCACTCAACTGGGTAATAAAGTGAAAGTAGGGAAACATAATGAACAATAAACTTCTGTAGTAAGTTTTAAAACATCAACTGCTGAGTTAAACTAAAGACTTAAATGATTATGTACAAGTTTAGAGAGTATTTTTATCAAGATTTTTGTGCATTACTTCTCTCTTTGCATAAAGGCATTACAATGATGCATCATTCTGAAACCTGGTTTAATGCTTCTTATCCATCTCTGAAAAAGAATCCCAGTTTTGGGAAACTTCCTCACTTTTTTGGGGGGGTGACTCACCACGAAGAAGGTTTACAGCTTGGGGGTACATCTTGATCCATCACTTACCATGGAAACCCAGGTAGCGTCAGTGGTCTGCACTGCCTACTTCCATCTTGGCAGATCACCCAGATGCGTTCCTATCTTGATGTTGGGGCCCTCGTCACTCTGGTCCATGAGCTTGTAGTCTCGAGATTAGACTAATGTAATGCGCACTACATGGGGCTACCTTTGAGATTGATGCGGAAGCTTCAAATGGTGCAGAATGTGGCGGCCAGACTTATTATTTTACTTATTTATTCAACTTATATGCCGCCCACACTACCCAAAGATCTCTGGGCAGCTTACTGGCGTGAGAAAACATCAACATATTTCCCCCACTCTGGCTGCCTTGCATTGGCTGCCTGTTCGTTTCTGCATTGAGTTCAAAGTATTAATGATGACATATAAAGCCCTAAACGGTTTAGGACCTCAATATAGTATGTCTTTATTATTATGTATGTTATTTTATTGTATTTTATTGTATTATTATATTTTATTACTCATGTAAGCTGCCCTGAGTAGATTTTGTCTAGAGCAACGGGGTATAAGTCCAATAAAGTAAAGTAAAGTAATATCTGACGGAACGCCTTCTCCCACCTAGATTTACCCGTATCACTCGCTCTAGCTGGGAAGGGCAGCTGAGGGGCCTAATGGCAAGGGAGGCCAGAAGAGAAAGAACAAGGAAGCAGGCCTTCTCAGCAGTGGCCCCTCAGCTCTGGAACAATCTCCCCCCAGATTGGCTCCCTCGCGGGGCGTTTTTAAGAGCCAACTTAAGACCTGGCTCTTCATACAGGCCTTCCCTCCTGTCGATACCTAACTTATTTCGCCAGCCTCTAGTGTATTAATATTGTTGTTTTGTTTTATTTTAATATTGTTAGCCGCCCAGAGTAGACTTTGGTCTAAATGGGTGGGATATAAGTACAATAAAGAAAGAAAGAAAGAATACCAATGATAAATCCTCAAATAAGTGCTAGGGACAGCTTTTTTGTAGCTCTGCTATCAAAATTAATATGCAACAGAAAAATCACATGCCAGTTTCTCCTAAGGTACCTTGGAAATTGTAGTTTTGAGGGTGAGTCCACTTCTCCATAGTTGCATTAATTGAAATGGGTTTACTCTATTTGTAACATACTTTAGCATAGTTAGTAACAACTTAGCATTTAAGCAAGTTTTTATAACCTGGGTTTTCCGGAAAAATGTAAAATGCTCTTTAACAGGGAATCACATGTGTGCAACATGATTTCTGTCCCAAGTTTTACCATGAAATATGTGCCATTGAATTCAATGGTTCTCACTCCTAGATAATGTGGTTGGATAGCTGGATTAGGCTATATATGCTTTCATCTGGAAGTGCCATTGAAATCCAAGGGACTTAATTCCATGCAGTGGAGTGCAACATTATTACATTTTTGTAGGTAGCTTCTTCATCTGTTTAATAACAAGATATTTGTGTTATTAAGACCAATTAATTTCTTGCTTTTTGTTCATTCTACTTTTTAGCTTGGATGCTTATTTTCAAGGCACTGTACTCATGAAGTCACTCAGGCAATATGGGATGGCTACTTACAGCTAGCAGATCCATTCTTTGTTTACTTCCTAATGCTCATCATCCTTGTTAATGCAAAGTGAGTATAGCTTTTATAATGACAACAATTTAATTGACTCCCTGCTTTTGTCTCTAGGGAGCATGTTTATTCCATGTCGCCTCCCCCCTTTTTTTGTCTCCTTCCAGAGAAACAATCTTAGCACCAGAGTCAGACAGCAAAGGAAAAATAAAAGGATCAAGTGAATAAGATACAGTAACGTGGCTTAGTCTCAATCATACATACACCAGTTTGGTTCACACAGAACACCTTTAAATAAAGCACAGACCCTGAACCTATCAGTTCTGGCTGCCCATACAGACACCTGAACCTATCAGGTTGGTACTGACTGACACACAGTAGTACCCTGTCTGACACACAGACTCCCACACCAGCTTCTTCTTCTCAGCTTCTTCCCACAGCTTCTCCTCCACACAGGCTCCACATATATATACAGTACAGCCCCTCCTCCTGATGTCCCGCCTTCCACTCCCCATAGGATGGAACTTTCCCTCCAAACCCATGACAGACAGGTAACATCAGTGCTGTATGTAACAAGTATAGCTTTTATAATGACAACAATTTAATTGACTCCCTGCTTTTGTCTCTAGGGAGCATGTTTATTCCATGTCGCCTCCCCCCTTTTTTTGTCTCCTTCCAGAGAAACAATCTTAGCACCAGAGTCAGACAGCAAAGAAGACATCGTGAGTAAGTCCTTCCTTGGTAATGCTATTGTTGCTGCTTAAAATGAATCCTTAAATATTGCATGGCCACAAATAAGTGCTTTGAAATCAAGATATAAAATCCCATAGATAATAGATAAAGAGGAAGCTCCTGATCACATACTGAAATTTATAAAAGCTTCAAGATCTTAATTTGGCTCTCAGAGTATTAGAGACCTACACCTAACCGTTTTGTTCTTAAATTTGATCACAGACATTGTCACATTGTAAATCAATTAGTAGGCCAGTCATTCATCTTGGTCCAGTGGGTGCTTGCTCTGCCACCTATCTATCTCTTCTCTTTTTCCTTTCAAGCCCTGAGTAATGAATGCCCAACAAAAGCTGAAAGATAAAATAAGTGGGATTGTCTCACTGGACCTATCCTGAGCCCTAGATTCATTGGCCTAGTTGCTATGTTGATTAAGACATAAATATTTCATGTTACCACTAGTACCGGTTAAGAAGAGATCACTGTCATAGTTGTGATATGAAGGCAGCTGTCGTGTGCCCCTTTATTGATGTAAATGTTGGTGGTGCCTTTTCTTGACATTGTCTGTCCAGCCCTGTCCTTCACACATGATATTTGTACTGGAGCTTGGTTACCACAAAAATAATGCAACAGAAAATATTTGAGCTATTAGACATGGTTAAAATCCTGTTGCATAACACTATGCCTGCCAAAGTCTGTGGATGTCATCAGCAGGGGAAGATTTTTGGTAATTAAAAACTTTCTCTTCCTCTCACACAGCTTTCTTGTGATGAAAGGGATTACTGGGATTAGAAAAGTCACGGACAGAAGTAGGAAATTTATAATTACTGAAAACTGCCCCAGCTGACAACATCATCAGCCTTCTGCAGGTGTGATTATACTAACAGAATTTCAGCCTAGAGTTATGAGTAACTAAAAGATAAGGTGCAAACATGAGTAATTATTGGCATGAGTAATTATTCTCTGTTTTAAGTAGGGAAAAAACTGCACATGTTAGGAAAAAACCATTTGTACTGTTTTGCTTAAATGTCAACATTCCAAACGGCTTTGTTTCAGAATTTCTAGAAAAATCCCCTGCCAATTTTGAGGTAGAAGACATAGAAGACCTTTTCTCCCTGGCACATTATTATTGTAGCAAAACTCCAGCTTCTTTCAAAAAGGTAATCAAGGAATGAAAGACTACCCTGTACATCAGAGTAGAGCCACAATCCACCAAGGTCTCCTGAGATAATGTTATCAATACGACTGTATTTCCTTCAGCAACAATGTGTAGAGAAAATAACTGTAAGTGCTTCCCCCCCCCCTTTAAACATGCTGGGGAGTTTATACAATTAAGCAGACATTGGATAAATGATGGTAAGCATATTGGAGAGGTACACTGAGAGAAAACCAAATGGGCAATATTTTAATTGGACCAAATTTTGTGTCAAAGCAGAAGATTGTTAAATGGAAGTGGCAGAGTGACAGAAATGATCCAACAGTTTCACAACTTAAGGATAGTTAGTGACCGTTATGGAAAAATTAACAACAAATCAGATATTCAGAAGCTACATTCATGTGCAGTAACGTAGTGTTTGTTTATAACTTACATAACAGAGGACTTTTCTCTTTACCATCCTCAGGCTAAGTTGGTCTCCTCTTGTATATAGCCTAACATAGCCAATTGCTGGCTAGATAGCTCAATGGTTTAAGAACCAGAGGGTGGGAGTTCAGTTCACCACTGTGCCTCTTGGGAGAAGAGTCAGTCTGTGTAGTTATGGCTAAGCTGCACAGTTCCAGCCCCCCCTCCCCTTGGAAGAAGGGAATGGTAGACGAACCTTTGAAAGGGTTGCCATAGGTTCCAGTTAGAGTACACTCATTGTATCAGTTGAATAATGAGTCCTTGTTGGGGCAAGGAATTTGTGCAAAGCTCCAACAGTAGTGCTTAAACTAAATTTTGGGTTGTTGTTGTTGTTTTGTTTCTTTTTAAACTGCATGTAAGTTGTACAAATATATTGTAGCCTTTTACACTGCGAACAAGTCAGTCTCAGTCTTAGTTTGCTGTCTTTATTTTGCATATAGTCTTACCTTGGGCCACAAGTATTGTTTTCTATTCCCACTACAGGATAACCACACTCTTTTTGGCAGCAGCTTGCTGGGTCTCAAAGATGACGATTCAGACTTGAGCCAAGCTCTGTGTCTAGCAGTTTCTGTATCAGAGATTCTTCAAGCAAATCAACAGCAAGGGGTGAGTAAGTCTGAATTTGCTTGCTTCACAAATAGGGATAATGAAGGATATTTTAAATATTAGGAGCTTGGAGAACAGGACTTTTTTTGCTACTCTTCCTTTGATCATTGGTTAGGTTCCAGTGACCTGAGGAATTTACTTAAAAAAAAAACCCAAGAGGTATTAGATTTGTTTTTCTTACACAGCAGCTATCAATGCTCTTCTGAAAAGGTGCAAAAATTAATTTTCATGTGTCTCAAAGTTATTGTCTGTTATTTCATTGGATATTTATTGGTATTGCAGGAACGGGTAAATTACTCTTCCCTATTAATATTTCCCAGTCTATACTGCAGTTTCTATTTGTTTTTCTATGTTTTGGGATTGTTTTATTCAGTGGGTTAGGTATCTGGCTGCAGAGCCAGAGATGGGGAGTTGAGTTCTCCATTGTGCCTCCTGAGAGAAGAGTTGGCCTGTGTGGCCCTGGGCAAACTGCACAGTCCCAGGGCAGTCCCAGAGAACACCACTTCTGAGTACTCGCTACTTAGAAAACCCTGAAAAGGATTGCCATAAGTCAGAATTGACTTGACGGCACATAATAATTATTATGATAAACAGCACAAACCTACACTCTTGGTACTTAAATCATTCCTCTCTGTTCAAAATGGTAGTTGATATTTATTTTCATGCTGCTTAATTAGTCAAATGTTCACACTTGATGAAAGCTTCTCTGAAATCTTTCTTTGTCGTAACTTGTGGGCACTTCTGGCCAGAATCTCAAGAACACAGGTTCTTCCAGACAAGCAAGAGCCTTTGACTAAACATCCTATGTGCATGCCCATGCATGAACACATACATGCTTCACCACAGGCCAAAGAAGTTTTGGAAGCTGAGGGAAGTATCAGAATTTGTTTGTGGGATGTCAGAAGAGCCGACTGCTAAAAGGAAAACATGTCCAAAGTCCTTTTAAGGTTCTTGGCTATTGTAGCTGTTTAGATCCTGGATCCGTACCCTAACGTTGGAGAAAATGAATGGACATAACAAAGTATTCATGAAGGCTTTCACGGCCAGGATCTAATGGTGGCTGTGGGTTTTTCGGGCTCTTTGGCTGTGTTCTTCCTAACGTTTTGCCAGTCTCTGTGCTACTCCTGTCCTCTGAAAATGCCAGCCACAGAGAGTGGTGAAACGTTAGGAAGAACAACCTTCAGAACACGGCCAAAGAGCCCGAAAAACCCACAACAACCATGACATAACTAAGTTTCTCTTATGGAAAAATGAATATTAATAGCTTTTACACTGACATAACTGAACTGTTTTTTTCTCAGGAAGGAGTACGGTTCTTTGTGGTGGATTGTCGTCCTGCAGAACAGTACAATGCTGGGCATTTATCAACGGCTTTTCATTTAGACTCAGACTTGGTAAGCATTTTTTCCAGCCGGTTAATATAGTTGCTATTTTATTTCTTTAGATGTGGGTGGGAAAGTTTTCAAACTTTAGAATGGAGGGTAATTAGTTTTTAGTTTATGCTATTAACTCCATACCATCATATTTCAGATGCAAATATCTTTTAAATAATCTTTTTAATTTTGTTTGCAAACAATTTAGCTTGTCTAGATAGTGAATCTCAAGTCCTGGGGCAAATCTGGAAGCTGAGGTTCACCACCTACGTACAAGCTAAATTATATTTCCCATCTCAGTCCTTTCATGATCCACTGTGAGTACATTACCTTCTCTATCATACCATCATCTATAGACTTCCAGCTTTTATACCATGCATTTACAGTATACTGTGCATTTTCCTAAATGTATTGTAATGGCTAGATTTTAAAAATGGGATACATGAAAGAGCAGTCAAGCTCTTTAAATGTTAGACAGACATTATTTTGTCCTTTGCTATCAGTATATTTTAAAGTTTTTTCATACTTTTTTCAACAGATGTGCTAAAAATTTATTCTGCTCTTTTACTTGGTCCACAGATGCTTCAGAACCCATCAGAATTTGCCCAGTCTGTGAAGTCTTTGTTAGAAGCACAGAAACAGTCTATTGAGTCTGGCTCAATAGCAGGTGGAGAGCATCTTTGTTTCATGGGAAGTGGCAGGGAAGAGGAAGATATGTATATGAACATGGTGCTAGCACACTTCTTACAGGTACATCTAAATATTTTGTTTGTTTGTGGACAATTTAGCTAGTATGTGTATGAGGAGTCTTAGGCCCCAGGTCCTTCTGGGGTCTCACACTAATTCATTTTCATTTTTTATTCTGCCACAATGTGTAGTGGCTAACATTCTCATCCTGACTTTCATAGAAGGGAAGTACAAAGTTTCAGATCATCCCCTTAGATGTTGCCCACCAGAGTAAACTGTTGCTTATCATTCTCTGTGCTATGTTCTTGTTTTAATTGTGAAACTTTGTATCCAAAAAGATATTGTATTGTTTGCTTTTAGCTGAAATGCACTTTTGTCCTATCTGGGACATCTACAAAAACGAATGTACACTTATGTTTCTAGAACTGGAAATCAGTGACAATTATGTTACCTTGAAATTAGGTGTCACTGAAATCAAGGAGATTCAAAGAAATCTAAATGGATTTTCTTCCTTAATATTTACACTTTAAGCTTACTGTTTATACTTATGGTCATTTGAAAACCCAGCCTTAGCCTGACCTACAGGTTGACTGAAGAGGAGTATTTGAATTTTATTTTCTATTCATCCTTTTGTATCAAGTCTGTAAAAGTGCACTTAGTTCCATTTAAACTACAGATTACATGTGCTAACCTAGAGTGTATGACAGACAGTAGGCTGGATGGAAAGGGAGAGGTGACCTTCTCTCAGTTGTGTCCTCTGTGTAGCTAGAGGAGGGACTTGTGGGTCGGGAGGATGACTTCAAGGGGGTCTGTCATGATTCCACCACCACCCCTCACCAGGGTTCACATCTTACAGTTTGAGGAGTCCATATCTGCGTGCTCCCCTGCTCCCCCAAAACCTGTTATTTTGGATGGGAAATACCTTGAGAGCAGTATGGCTGCCATAGGTGAATTGGGGAAATGTTTTAAAAATTGGCTCTCCACTAACACACCCTTGCATTTTTTTTTTCAAATGTGCTTCCATTAAGGCAGTGGTTCCCAACCTTGTGTAACCCAGGGGTTCTTGGACCTTGACTCACAGAAGCCTTCACTACTAGCTGTGCTGACTGGGATTTCTGGGAGTTGTAGTCCAAGAACCCCTGCATTAGTCAAGGTTGGGAACCACTGCCTTAGTAGAAGCACATTCCACAAATCCAAGGCCACTATGAGATGGAATACTATATGTTTAATTTTATTGAAGGATAGTCCTATTGGTTTGGATCTAGAGGTTTCCTGAGCATTGATGGGGAATGTTATTTTTTTTCAGGCAATAAGTTTCAGTGTTCCATATGCAGGCTGGCTTTGGAATTATGGCACCTGTATTCTAAAACTAATAATAAGAAGGAACAATTCCTGTTTTCTTTTTTTTATCTCTGTGTCTGAGCAGAACTTTATTCACAGGGTGCTTCTGCCCACAGTTCTCTATGCATTCTCTGAAAATCTCCCCCAGAAAGTTGGGGAGTTCTTCCTCTTTCCTCTTTCAGTTCCTCTTTCAATTATTCGTTTCCCCTGCGTTGCCTCATCCAAACCATATAGGAGGCAATGCAGGGGAAAGGAGGAATTGAAAGAAATAACTCTTCCACTGGCAGGAACCTCTGCTGAATGAAAGCTCCTTCCAGAAATGCTCCTTGAAGAGCATGTCTGCATTCAGTGAATTCTCTTCAGATGTATATGTGAAAATGTACATAGAGGGACTTCTGTGTACCTAAGTTATTAAACATTTAGGATTAGAAGTTTTATGAACTGTCAGGTACCACAATGCAAAGTGGACCATGTCTGAGCTTCATTTTTGTTTGCCTTATAAAGAGGAGAAATGTTAGTATTACCAATGTAATTTCTTATCTTTTTGTTGCAGAAAAATAAAGAATATGTAAGCATTGCTAAAGGAGGATTTATGGGTAAGATTTCCATTTAATTGGAGTTCTCTTGTCTTTTTTAATGCTGACTAAACTAATTATGCATTTTGTATAATTAGTATCTCAAATTAGTATATAATTAGTATAATCAGTATACCAGATTAGTATATAGAATCCATTAATTGGGTGGCCAGTTTAGTTACCCTTTTCTCGTGCACTCTTTATTCACAGATTGTTTGACCTTATGCTGTTTGCTCTGAGGTAACTTTGCCATGGTAACAGTATATCATAGATACCAAATGCAGAGACTTTGAGAACTGTCTTTTCCCCCGACCTCTGGTCAGCTTTGGCCTTTCATCTTGAGGGACGGTTCTGCCTGCAGTGAATCAGTTTCATAATAGTGCTCATGAAATTAAGCAACACACCTGTCCTCCCTTCTTTGTCCTGGTTCAGATGTAATTTTTCCAGCCCAACAAACAAACTCATGCTCCCTTCCTTCCACCATGTAGCTCTTCCCCTGAAGTGTAAGACTCCTGATTTGGTACAGCTAGAGTCTCCATTTGGTATCTGGAAATGGATACATAAAAACTTCTGCAAGAGGGGTCAAAAGCAGGAAACAAGATGGTGTCTAAGCTTGAGTGATTGTTCTTGTTCTATCTAACACACTATACGTTTTTAGAACAAAAATGTTCTGGTCTCATATTCGCCAGTTCTCAAAAACACTGCCTTATTGCCTAAGGATTATCATGGTTAAATTAAGGATAGGTTTAGCATTACCCTGAAAATGACTAAGGTCTCAAAGCTTTGACCCTGCATTTTCTGCACAAATGTGTGCTTCGAATCAGTGGTGTTTATTATAGTTAATGTTACACATATCGTTAGAGAGGAAAATCACTAGAATATTTTTAATAGTGTAAAGCAGGCTTCCCCAAGCTGGTATCCTCCAGATACTTTGGACTGCCACTTTACAATCCCGGACCACTGTTTAATGTTAGGAGGGACTGATGGAAGCTGTAGTCTAAAATACCTGGAAAACACCAGCTTTGTGGAACCTGCTACTTGCTTATTCATTTATACTCGGTGTATGTTGATCAGTTTAATTAAAATAATTCTACAGCAGATGTGCTACAATGATAAATCAGGCAGTGTTACTGTATTGGCATTAAGTGTTTTAATAACCTTTCTTACAGCACTGCAACAGCACTTAGCAGACATTAACGTGGAAGGACCAGAAAATGGATATGGCCACTGGATTGCTAGTACTTCAGGTTCAAAAAGTAGCATAAACTCCCTAGTTGATGTGAGTGTACTTCTTAAATCATATTGTCTTATTGTTCTGTGGATTTTTTTTCACACTTTACTTTTAATTTAGAGGCATGACAGTTTTTCTTACAAACGTTCTTTCATCTCCTTTTCGTTCTCCAATCCATTTGCTTCCAAAATTTACAGATTGGATGATATAGTTTAAATATTAGGTGTTCCTCTTTTCTTTTCCCTTTTCTCGTCCTTTGTTTGCACAAAGCTATATTGTGTGGCAACTTTTTATCAATTCTGAAGCAATAGTGGCACCTGTTGACTGTTAGCTAAGAAATGAAGCAAACTGCATTGATTTTACTCAGCTTTCTGCAAAAGCAGACACAACATCTCTTATCCTGTGTTACATCTGTTTACCACAGTTTAGAAAAGTTACTTTCTTTGGACTACAAGAAGAAACCCACTGCCCAAACTGAGTGGGGCAAGCTGAGAGGCCAAAACAATTAACTTTCCCAAGCTTTGACTTTTACCTAATTTTGTAAACCTAGCTGTAAATCTCTATAACAATTACTTGTATATAGATCAGCTTGGGATTTGATAATCAAACACATTGCTTTTATAGGGTGATTCTCCCAATGGTTCAAGTGATGGGAAAGGTGTCAAATCCTTGGTAAACAAGATGACCGAAGCTTTGAAGACTAGATCTGTGAATGTGAAAGAGAAAGTTATTAGTTTTATTGAAAATACATCAACCCCTGTAGACAGGTGAGTTATTTTTGGATTGAATTATCTCGGTGATTACTAGCTAAAGTTGTGCATGTTAAGTCTCAGGTTACTTCTATTGATCTGAATTGAATTATTCATAGACACCTTCTCAGCATCTATTATAAACACTTCACTTTCCAGGACAGATAGTTTAAATTCACTTTGATGCTAAACAGACAGTCTACACTACTTCCTCCTTATCCAAAGCATCTGTAACTGTCCTAATATAAATATTAGCAATTGATTCTGCACCATTTTAAAGGTCCTGAATCTGATTTAGGGTTACAATTTTTGTACTACTCCCTCAACACTTAGAACATGGGTACAAAACACTTTGAAAAGTACCTAGATTTGTGGTTTCTCATTGCATGCTGCTATTGTGAAAGTGGCTCTCCAGGTTAATGGTTTGACGTGTGATTTCTTGCATAACTGATACTTCTACATTTCATCAAACAGCTAACTGTGAACTCTGCAGAAATGTTTCAGTCTTCATACTCCAAAATAATTTGTGAAGAATTAGCAAAACTGGGAAATTTCTATCTGCATGGAAAAGAAGCTGCTCCACTTACATCTTGAATGTCCCAAAATATTATTTATCGCATAAACAATATACTTTTCATAAAGGCTTTTTTAAAAAGGAATTTTCCAGCTCTTATGCTGTTTGTCGTGGGACTTGAAAATAATCTTGATGCACCCCTGTCAAGTGAAGGAAAAAAATATCAACTATTCCCTCTTGTATATTTTAATGACTTTATTCTGTCCTCTGCCCCAATTTGCTGTAGAGTTTCTTTCAGTCTTTCCTGGCCCGAGAGAACAAGCATGCCGCGGTAAGCCATTGTATAGAACTATCTAAGTAAAGCTGCCTTTGTCGTTTTTTTGGCATGACTTCACAAAGTTTGTAAGCATTAGTTGCACTGACAGTGTTTCCCAGATGATCATTTTTTTAAAGGTATGCTTTCACACATCAAGCTACAAAACCATTTCAGTGTTATCTTAAAAGCTAGAGGAAAAGAAGTATATAAAGTAGTTGTTCATATTTAGTTAGATTGGCGCTTTCTCATATTTTTTTTCATCTCACTGCTTGCTCTGGAACAGCTTTCCTCTTTATAAGTCATGCTTACTGTTTCTCTTTCAGCTTTTAAACATCATATCTATAATCAGATGATCCCACCTCATTTCCTTTGTTCTTGGGATGCAGCAGTCAAAGCAGTCTGTAATTAGCCCTATTTTCCTGTTTTGTGTCAGTCAGAAAGCTATGATTGCCAGCTTTGGAACAAACCTGGGTATGGCCATGGCTTGAACTGGTTTTAATTTACTGATTTTTTTTCCTGATGCTGGTAATTTTAGTTTCATAGTTTGAACAAAATATGAAGTGTTGGCTAATTTGAGCCTTCTTAATTTAATTACGGGGTAAAAATCTAATAAATAAATAAATAAATAAATAAATAAATAAATACANNNATACATAAATACATAAATACATACATAAATTACGGCTTGTGAGAAAGACAAACAAATGATCATTCAGATTGTGGCTGCATATGACAGGAGAAGCACCAAATATCGATGCCAAGAGGATTCTTCGGACATTTTAGATGAGGCGGAAGAAAAGTGAAAATATGAAGGAGATCAGAAGCACGTTTCTGCATATTTTCTTAGTTGCAAAGCATTTAAGATCCTTGAGGGGTAGCCATAATAGTCTGTTATGGGAAAAACAACCAAGAGTCTTGTAGCAACTTAAAGGCTACAGTGTTTTATTTGGCAAGAGTTTTCATCGGCTGTAACCCACCTGCTTAGATCCAGGGATTAGAGGCATTCTACAGCCAACCTTCATTACAATAAGCCTCCGAATATCAAAGAACTTACCTCTTCGAGCTGTGAAAGAATGGAAACAGATAGACCTACATCATAGTTTAAAGTTTGCACTGGAAAGAATTTCAGGAAGCGGAAAAGTTTTTGAGAAACAGGTTTCTTTATCCTGTTTTTTTACACTGATAACTAAAAGCATGAATAGATTGGTGTTTTTGCTTATACCGTTGACTGGGAGGAATTGTGATGATCTGACAGAAAAACAGAAAGAGTGCTAGAATCACTACATTTTCTCAGAAAATTCTCTGCTTTCCCTCATGGGGTCTTCTTACACTTTGAGAGTAAGGGACAGAATGGTTGCTACTTCTCCGTTAATGCCTATACAAAATACACCCTTCTGAGTTATGAACTAGAAGAGTTATGCTGAATGAGGATAATGGTGTCAGGGTTTGCTACCTTGCTTGTTTAAGAATGATAGAAACAATTACAGGGAGTATAAAATTGCCCTAATAGTATGGCACTTTTAGACTTTGTGGCATGAAGACATGGTTTACTACAATCCAGTTTGGCAAGCAATTCTTTGGCAATCTTCAGTTCCATTCTTCTTCTGAATCCATACACATATTTGCTTATAACTCAAGTTTTCGTACCTACCTTTTTACAAGTTGGGAGGGAGGGATTTTAAGATGGAAGATAAAATGACATGCCTGTGACTTCTCAAAAGTTGCATGTTTTTAATACTTTTGGAATTCACGTTATGCTTATAAAACATAGAAGCAATGTAGATAAATAAAGCTTAGAAAATGAAGATGTTTGGAGTTGCCGGGAATTATTACAACAAAGAAAATACATATACTGAGATATCCAGATGAATTTTGAAATGATTCTCAATGATTGTCTGCTTTCATTCTGGAATTAATCCATTAATGTCAGCTGTGATGAGCCTAGAAAACCTTTGTCAGGTATAAACCAATATAGGCTTTGTGATTTGTCCTGTAAGTTTGCCTTAGTTTGGTTTGTAAGGGAATCAAACACAGTGCCCAAGTGTAGTCTGACAATGGGAGCTATAATCCAGTGTATTTTGAGGCCACTAGGATGTGGACATCTGATGTACAACTTACCTCTCTCTTCAGTTCCAGTACCATTTCACATTCCAGGGAGTGATGGAGAGTAGTTTGGCCTGTATGTCTTAATATGTTTTGATCACCCTCTCCTCAAGACTGGGCGTCAAGAGTTTCTTTTCAGCACATAGTCATATGAAAAAGAAAGTACATCCTCTTCAAATTCTATGGTTTACATGTCATGTCATAATAAACATCATCTAGTCTTTAGCATGTCTGAAAATGAGGTAAATACAACCTCAGAGGAACAACAACACATGGCATATTACACCGTGCCATTATTTATTTAGTAAAAATAATGCCAAAATGGAGAAGCCATGTGTGAAAAACTGAGTACACCTTTACTGCTTCCATATTAACTAAGAGATTAAGTAGCAGCCATGTGCTGCTAACCAAACACCCTTCAGTAACTGATGATCAGCAAGTGTGACCACCTTTATAAAAGTTTTAGCAGTTTGCTGGTCTGAAGCATTCATATGTGTGTTAACACAATGCTAAGGAGGAAACATATCAGTAGTGATCACAGAAAATTAACTGTTTCTGCAGATCAATATGGGAAGGCTTATAAAGCTATTTACAAACAATTTAAAGTCCCATCATTCTACAGTGAGGATGCTTATTCACAAGTGGAAAACAATCAAGACTGTCGGCAGTCTTCCCAGGAGTGGACATCCAAAAAAATTCACCCCAGAGTCAGACTGTACAGTGCTCAGAGAAACTGAAAAAAAAATACATCTCTGACCCTATAGGCTTCAGTTAGCATGTTAAATGTTAAAGTTCATGGCAGTACAATTAGAAAAAGACTGAACAAGTATGGTTGGTTTGGAAGGTTTGTCAGGAGAAAGACTCTTCTCTCTAAAAAGAACATGACAACATGGCTTAGGTTTGCCAAGTTGCATCTGGACAAACCACAAAACTTCTGAAACAATGTCCTTTGGACAAATATAACTAAAATAGAGATGTTTCGCCATAATGCACAGCGCCCTGTTTGGCAAAAAACAGATACAGGATATCAGTGCAAACACCTCATACCAACTGTCAAGCATGGTGGTAGAGGGGTGATGATTTGGGCTTGTTTTGCAGCCACAGGACTGGGCACCTTGCACTCCTTGAGTCAACCATGAACTCCTCTGTATACCAAAGTATTCAACGTCAAATGCAAGTCTGTCCAGCAGCTAAGCTTGGTTGAAATTGGGTCATGCAACAGGACAATGATCCCAAGCACACCAGCAAGTCTGCAACAGAATGGCTGAAAAAGAAAAGAATCAAGGTGTTGCAATGGCCCAGTCAAAGTCCAAATCTCAACCAACAGAAATGCTGTGGTGGGACCTTACAAGAATTATGCATAAACGTGTCCACAAACCTCAATGATCTGAAGCAATGTTGTAAATAAGAGTGGGCCAAAACTTCTCCAGAACAATGTGAGAGACTGATAAAGTCCTACAGAAAACAATTACTTCAAGTTATTGTTGTTAAAGGTGGTTCTATAAGCTATTGAATCATAGAAGTCATAGAAAAGTGAAGTTGGAAGGAGCTTACGTACAAGATCATCAAGTCCATATGGTGTACTTAGTTTTTCACACGTCTTCTCCATTTTGGCTTTATTTTTGGAAAATAAATAATGAAAAGGTGTAATGTCCTTCTTTCTTTCTGTTATGCTGCCCACACTAACCAAAGGTCTCTCGGTGGCTTACAACAATATGAATACAATAAAAAGATAAAAACAATTAAAATACAATTAAATGCAATTAAATTTGACTGTACAATGCTCTAATGGATATAATTACAATTGAAAACCTGAAAAGGGGAAGGTTTTTACCTGGCGCCAAAACGTCATCAAAGTCAGCGCCAGAAGAATCTCCCTTGGGAGGGCGTTCCATAGTCTGGAGGCAGCTGCCAAAAAGGCTTTTTGTCTACAAGCCATCTCTCTTACCTCCTTGAGTGATGGCTCTTTCAGGAGGGCCCCCTGACTAGATCTTAATTGCCGGGTAGGTTCATATGGAAGGAGGCAGTCCTTCAGGTATCCAGGGCCTACGCTGTTTAGGGCTTTATATGTCAAAACAAGCACTTTGAATTGGGCCCGGGCAGTGACTGGTAGCCAATGTAATTTGAACAGAATCGGTCTGATGTGTTCCCTAGCGGCCCCACCAGTCACCAGCCGCGCAGCTCGATTCTGAACCAGTTGCAGTTGCCAGTGTCTTCAAAGGTAGCCCCACGTAGAGCGCATTGCAGTGATATATGTGGGATGTTACCAGTGCGCGTGTAACTGCCATGAGACTCCGCTCATCCAGGTAGGGCCGTAGCAGTATTATTTCCGCAGCTGAAGGAAGGCGCCCCTGGCCACTGAGTCCACCTGGGCTTCCAGTGTTAGACTGGGGTCCAGGAGCACCCCCAAGCAGCGGACCCTGTCCCTTAGGGGGAGTGTAACCCCATTCAGGGCAGGGAAATGGCTGTCTAGCCTGTCTGACGAAGCACCCACTAACAGCACTTCCGTCTTGTCTGGATTGAGTTTCAGTTTATTAACCCTCATCCAGTCCATTATTATGACCTTATATGTAAAATTATAGGATTTAAAGAGGGTGTACTGTCTTCTTCATTTGACTGTATGTAACAAATTTTGCATCAGTACAAAGGATTCTCACCTTTGCAAGACTGAATGAAATTTAATGGGGTTAAGTAGGAAGTTGAGCAGGGGATTGGACTCAATAGTCTTATAGGTCCTTTCCAAGACAGTTATTCTATGATTCCATGATTCTATAATTTGGAATCCAGAGGAAAAAGAAACCAAATGCACAGTTACAAGATGGATACCTTACTAGGGTTTTTTGGGGGGTGGGGGTTGCTGATAAATGAGACTCATAAAATTATATTTGACCGCACTATACTTTTATGGTTGATGTTCCTGTTAAAAATGATAGGAATAAGCTAAATTTTAGAACATTGACTGACAATATGATTTAGAATGAGGATGCACAGTGTCATAAACTAAGGGACCGGATAGGATCTTGCATTGGTCATGGCCTTTAGCTAAGTAACAATGGTTTGGATAATATGTTTTGGCACCACTAATGTACGAGGTGACAGCAGAATATATCCATTTTGGATTATTCCTGAGTAGAGTTCTTGCAATGGAATGAAAAATGCAGAGCAACCAGAAATTTGCACTGTCATAGTGCTATGCAAACGTAGGACTTCACCACAGATAGTGTTCCTAAGCCATGGTTTTAAGTATCATGTCCAAATGTGTACACTACAGGAAAGAACTGGCTGTCAGACAAAGGTGTGCATGTTGGGATGCAGACCTTGACTTGTGTTAGTTTCAGCTGAGTGTTGCCTGTCTGCCAATCAGACCACAGAGAAGAACACAGATTTTGCCTCTTATCTCCAGTTTTCCCTCTGCATACCTTTCTTGAAATAGGACTGAAATCAGCACACTAACCCATAAATATGTTAGCAGTTTTGTATTTTAGCCAGAACAAAGGCAAGAATCTGTGACTGGCACCAATCATAGTTGAGTTTTGCCTACACCAGGCCAGTGAGGTAGTGCTTCATATTAAAGCTTTTAACGTTAGACAAGCTTAAGTGAGACAAGGCGATACTTATACAGGGACAAAGGTTGTTGTATGTAAACAATTATTCCTCTAATATCAAGCCTTGTGAGTAGAAATGGGTACTTACCGGGGTTCAGCGGTTGGGAAGATTGGGCCCACAGGTGGAGTCTGTGCCCTACCTCCACCTGCAAGCACCCACTTAGACGAGGAGGCAGGGCATAGAATCTGGAGCACCTGCAAAACACCTGTGGGCCCAATCCTCTGAACCATATTAAGTGCACCTCTATACCTGTGAGCATTCTGAAGATGGTTAGTCATGAGGTGTGCTCTAACCACATGTGGCATTCACACCAATCATTTCATTTGAACATTGTCAGTGTTACTGATGCCTATTGTGTCAAGTTACTAGCAAGCCTTCTTACCATGCTTTATTTGGGCAGCATGTTTGTTTTCACTTTCCCAAGTCTATCTAACTCTGTGTCCTAAATCCAAATTAACAAACCCTTCAGATGTACCTTCAGAGATAGACACCCCCACCTGCAGTGCAGAAAGACAGTATTTAAATTTAATCTCTCCCATCTATTTCATCAAAAGTATGGAGATATATATGGAATCAGTTTGTTATTTTCAAAAACAGTCTCATAGAAATATTTGTTTGAAGCCTCTGTAATTTCTAGAGCATTTATAACAAGTTGGAAATGTGTGCCTTTTGCTGTGAATTAACGGCGTTCCGTGTCTAGTCGCGCTGGCCACATGACCACGGAAACTGTCTACGGACAAACGCTGACTCTGTGGATTGGAGACCGGGATGAGCACCACGCCCTAGAGTCGGACACAACTGGACGAAATGTCAAGGAAAACCTTTACCTTTTACCTTATGGAATAATTTCAGGCTGTGTTTCTTAGCTGTGCAAAGTTACATTTAGCAAAAAATGAATGAACAAGATAAAAACATCTGAAAAGAGGGGATGCCCTTATTCAAACTCTTGCCTTTTAAGGCTGTTCCACATTCTGGTAGGAAACTAACTCCAGGTGCAATTCTTTGGTCAACTAACATTTAAAGATCCTGTGTTTCCTAAACTACCAAACTACTGTGTTATTTGTTCAGAGGTAAACAGCTTGACTAATAACATTAGTTCATGATTAGCTTTAATATTTTGGGAGAACTATAAAAATACATTTAACTTTTCACACTGGTACCATGGTGTGGAACCTGTTAAAGGGAGCTGCATTTTCTGGCTGAGGTTAAGAAGGCCCTTCTGCCTACATTGCAAGGTGGACAGAGCAAACATAACACAACTCAGCCCACTGGAGGTCACTTTTTTATCTGCTTTTACTAATTCAGTGTGGTTGGCTTCGTCACTTCACTCTTCACGACCGTCTTTCTTCGTCTACAATTCTTTGGCTTCACGCACAGGTTTACGCATTGGCTCTGCTGCATGCTACTGTGGAAAATAAGCTACATTTAAAAAAAAAAAAGCCAAATAATGTGGGACTTCTTTTCTCTCTCTTTTTATGTGACGTACCCTGCCAAAAGACATGTCAGCAGCAGTGACAGAGTGGGAAAACCATACCGTGGTGTGAAACCGGTTTTCAGCATTGGGGATGAGGAAGAATATGATACTGGTATAGTATGGGATGCTTCCATTTGAAATCTAGTGTCTCAGTAGAAAAAAGGATGAAGGAGAGTCTAACTATTGGTTGTTGTGGGTTTTTCGGGCTTCTTGGCCGTGTTCTGAAAGTGGTTCTTCCTGGACACAGCCAAGAAGCCCGAAAAACCCACAACAACCATTAGATCCCGGCCGTGAAAGCCTTCGCGAATACAGTCTAACTATTGCCTGAATGTGGGATCTAATGATCAAATTATCTGTACCTGACACTATGGAAGTTGTTTACAAAGGTGGTCTTCTCTGTTTAACATTCTCTTACACTTTCTGCAGTACTTTCAGACTTTCTAGAACATTTAATAAGGAATCCTTTCCTTATTAAATGGTATTGGTATTTTCAAACACCAACTAAAAACATGGATGTTTAGGCAGGCCTTCCCTCCAGTCAATCTCTGACTCTCCCCCCCTTTCTTTTCTTCTTTTATGGTTTATTTTTCATTTTTTCCAATTTTTGAAGAATTGCTACTTAGTGTAATAATTTAAAAAAAATATTTATTGTCATGTTATGTGTTGTAAGCCCCCTAGAGTGGTCACAATGACCAGATAGGCAGGATATATATATAATGGTATGGAAACTTGGGTACTATTATTGGTTTTCTCACTTAGCTTTTAAGGAACCCCAAGTTTTCACAGAGAATCACTGCTTTGTTGGATTAAAACTCAGCAGGGCTTTTGCAGAATCAAGATGCTTTTATTACTGGCCCAATGGCTTTTCTTGGGGGGGGGAGGTCAGCGCAAGTGTCATGTTGAACTTTACGAACAGTATGCAGCAATAAAAGGAACACACATACAAAATGTAAAGGGCATAGTAAAAGAAGAATACTAGACCTCTTACAGAATTTTAAAGAGGATGTTGTTTGCAGGCGAGAAAAACTTAATCTTTGTCCATTCATATTGTGAATGTATAAAGTTCAAACATTTTGTTTGTGAATCCAGACATGTGATCTAAAAATCTCTAAGGAATAACAGCTGACTTGCCTCCCCAATCTATATTTAGAATTGCTTTTAGGACTGAATGGCACTTGTGCTGGGACTCTCTATTGCATTGATTAGATTGCAATATATTATGTAGGACACACATGTAGGATGGAAAATTGGATAAGGAGATTGCTTGAGGGTGGGGAGTAGTTTGAATACTGTCCTGATACTAGATAAATGATGGCCATGAAAATGAAAGAGCAGAATTGGGATTTTTTTACTTAATGCACTGATGTGTGAATAATCCTAGTTTTTGAATCGTAAAGTGCTTGCCACTATATACTTTGCTTCAGAATTGTGTCCTCTTGGCTTCTTATAAGAATGAGCATAACTGAATTCTAGTGCTGCAGCATTTAATAGATAAACAGGTTGAACAAACTTATTGGAACAATGTTGACTGCAATCCTCTGTCTGTTCATGTGGCACCGTGTTTTCTGAGGATGGCTTGAATGACACATGATGGAGATGTGTCATTCAAGCCATCCTCAGAAGACATGGTACCGCATGAACAGACAGTGGATTGCAGTCAACATTGTTCCAATAAGTTTGTTCAACCTGTTTATCTATTAAATGCTGCAGCACTAGAATTCAGTTATGCTCATTCTTATAAGAAGCCAAGAGGACACAATTCTGAAGCAAAGTATATACACGAATCTAATATACAAATTATGTGACCCATATCAGACATATGTGTATAAGAAGAAGGAAAAAGAGTTGCAGTGTCTTTAAAACTAGCAAGATCAATTTAAATGTGAGCTTTTGTAGATTATGGATTGCATCCTCAGACACATCTGATACATGGTCATTCACAAAAACTTACACTGAAACAATTCTGTTCGTCTTTACACTGCCATAGTTGCTTTATTTGCTCCGTTATACATACTGAAACAGATTAACATGGCTGTGAAACATGTATGGTATATTATCTATATACAGATTACTTGACTGACAAGCTCATATCATTAATAGATTAGAATTGTTTTAAACATCCTTGGTTATAGCCCTGTGTCTAACAAACTGCTTCTTCATACCACTACAGTTTGTGAAAGTTACACAAGAATTAGCATGTAACGAAAGGAAGAAATGATCTATTTTTAATCTTACAATTTTAGCCGGTAATGTACATTTTCAGAACTGCAGTTCGGAGTTGATGTAATGCCAACATTATTTCAATTGTAGGAAATATATATATTGTTAATGATCAAAAGGCAAGCAAAAATTATGACTTTCAACATTATATTAAAACTTAGTTCTGTTAATGTCAGACATTTCAAACAAGGATGTAAAACTTAATTTTCAGGTTCTGTATCAGCATTTTAAAAGTGTTTTTCTACATTTTTTCCATGTAACATTGGTCTGTTTCCCTCCCCACCCCTTTTCTGGAACAGATGAAATTGACATCTCTTCAATGTCTGATGATGATCGAAAAGAAATTGTCAATATCCAGACTTGGATAAATAAGCCAGACATAAAGTATCATTTCCCTTGTAATGAGGTGAAAGAAAATGGAAACATGTTTCCTAGGTATTGATGCACTGACAATGTTTATAATAATCAGAAATGTTTAAATGTTCAAGATGAAGTTATACTGGTACCGACATTGTTGCCCATTACAAGCCAGAGTGTATGTGCATTCATATTAATCATTTTTCCACACAATTTCTGTTCATTTCATCATGTAAATCTGTATCATACCTATCTTGGATGGGTGTTCAACATAGAGATTCTGAATGCTTAGCTGTGAATGCCAAGAGCAAACCATATTGATCTCAGTGAGATTTATGTCAATGTTAACATGTTTAGTATTGAAATAGTGTCCAGTTTTCACCTTTCTGTGCTGCCAGAAAGCCAAAAAATTAAGGCATCTGTGAATACAGTAGGCTGGCATTTGACAGTGTTTAATTTGTTTGCATGAATGAGTGCTTCACAGACTTCCAGTACAAAATGATTTCAAAAACTCATGTCTAAGTAGAGATGTGGGACTCCACACCAAAAAAGACCCCATATTTGAATTAATCTTAGAATAGGATAAACAACAGAGTGCAATATGCTGAACAAATATACTGCCATCAGGCCAAAAGATAATCCATGTTCAGTAGAAGGAATAGCCACATTTGATTTCAACTTCTGACAAAAAATATCTCTTTTCTGATAGACATTTCTTTTTCTTAAAGTCATCTTCTAGTGACTGCAACACACATGTACTGCTTGAGGGAGATTCCCTCCAGAAAGGGATTTGCTTACATACAGTCTCGCCAGGCGCTAAGGTCCGTCGTTAAAATTACTTCCAAGAAAAAACATCCTGAATTGATAACCTTTAAGTATGGAAATACCACCACTTCAGGCATAGAGATTCTAGCAATTGAGAGGTAAGGTTGTGGTTTGCTTGGAATTCTTCCATACATGACTTATCAATCATTTACAGTGTTATTTCTTCTAAGTTCAAATATAGCATTTGCATAATCTTGGACCAGTTAAATCCTAACAGCAATAGCTCAGCATTTGATTAGAACACACCAAATTGCTGAAACGGGATGAAAAATTAAATATGACATTCTAGATTGTGCTTGGTGTAGAATTGTCACTAAAGAATTTACACTCTGTATAAGATCTTTTGTGACAGTTGTCTGATCTGGAGCATCCAATAGTCAAGCGAAACATTCTAATCTCTTTTGACTGTTAACCTAATTAGCTTTCTGGTAATTTTCCACTCTCTATAACTTTCCATGCGATTCCCAGTGTGAAATAGTGGACAGAGTGCTGGACTAGGACTCTGGAAAAACAGGGTTCAAATCCCCACTTGACCATGGAAATGTACTGGGGCAGTGGAACTGGTAAAAGTGCTCCTTAAACATCTCACTTACCTTGAAAGCCCAATTACGGTTGCTATAAGTCAGTTCCAACTTGACAGTACAGAACTCTCATTATTATTATTATTATTATTGCCGCTGCTGCTGCTACTACTACTACTACTACTACTACTATAGATTTTACATCAGGGGCAGGGGATATATTCAGAAAATTTTCACTGCATCAGACATAGCCAGCAATGATGGATCTTGGGAAATGAAGTCCAGTTCTATATGGAGAGCCATCCATTTCCCATCCCTGCTTCACATGATTCCTTAGCCATATGAAATGAGTGTATCTGTCTCTGTTGGTCCTTCTCAATATCTCAGCCACCTTAGATACTGTCAACCACGGTATCCTCCTGGGGAGGCTTTCCGAGCTGGGAATCGGTGGTTTGGCATTACCCTGGCTCCGGTCCTTCTTGGAGGACCATCCCCAGAGAGTACAGCTTGGGGAGAGGGTATCGGCTCCGTGGAATCTCAATTTTGGGGTTCCGCAGGGCTCATGTATCTCCCCAATGCTGTTTAATATCTACATGAGGCCGCTGGGTCAGGTCATCAGGGGGTGTGGGGCTTCGTGTCATCAGTACAATGATGACACCCAGCTCTACATCTCCTTTTTGCCTACAACAGTTGGTGCCATTCCATCCCTGGATGCCTTACTGAGATGGATGCAGGCGCGAATGGTCTGAGGCTGAACGTGGGCAAGACAGAAGTCTTAAGGGTAGATGGTCCAGACATTGGTGGTTTGGGGAAATCCCTCCCTTTTTTCGGGGGGGGGGTTGACTCTCACCACGAAGACTGATGTTCACAGCTTGGAGTTCCATCTTGATCTGGCGCTTACCATGGAAACTCAGGTAGCGTCAGTAGTCCACACTGCGTACTTCCATCTTCAGTGGGTTGCCCAGCTGTGTCCCTATCTTGATGTCGGGGCTCTCACCACTCTGGGCCATGCGCTTGTAGTCTTGAGATTAGACTACTGTAATGTGCTCTATGTGGGGCTGGCTTTGAGACTGATGCAGAAGCTTCCGATGGTGCAGAATGCGGCAGCCAGACTTCTTACTAGGGTGAGAAAACAGCAACATATCTCCCCCACTCTGGCGGCCTTGCATTGGCTACTTGTTCATTTGCGCATTGATTTTAAAGTATTAATAATGACATTAAAAACCCTAACCGGTTTAGGACCTCAATATCTGGCAGAATGCCTTCTCCCACATAGATCTACCTGTATCACTTGCTATTTATTTAAATAAATAAATAAATAAATCTTGTCTCCTTTGATTGTGCAGTGGACTGGACCCAAAAAAACTGATCGTGAAGGAGATTGCTCTAAGTACTGTTATAATAGTGCTGGCACAAATTCTTGTGTAAACCAAAACTCTTTGACTTCAGTCTAGATGGGCGGGGTAAAAATTAAATAAATAAATAAATTTACACAACTGTGCACTAAGTCCAACTATTAGCAGCAACTACAGTGAATTAAATAGGAAAGTAATCACTTAAGTAAGTTCCACTGATCTACTGGTTCTTATGTTGGGGTTAATAGCTGTACAAATTCATTCCTTTCTCTCACAAAATTCATGGGAGTTCTTTTTGATTTTAACATGCAAGCTTCAAATTAAGATTAATTTGTTTATATAAATAAGCCTTAGACTATAATTCTGTTCCCTTAATTGAGCATGTATATCTGAGTAGATAAGAATAAGACTGTGTTGCCAGATCTTATGGAACAATACTTTAAAATATTTGTATCCTTAACATACACATTGTTTGATTAATAGTATGAATTATTCAACATATCAACAAATTATCTTGTATTTTTCATTTTTAAGGTACTTGATTCCAAATGCAGGTGATGCTACCAAAGCCATAAAACAACAGATTATGAAAGTTCTGGATGCCCTGGAAAGCTAATAAGAAAAATCAGTTTCCATATGGTTTCAGCAAATTGACAGATACTACAGATGGACATACAGTGACTGCGTTCCTGATGAATACTAACCTAAAAGGATATTTCAGTTTACTGATGGGAGTGCCTAGATAAGCAGGTTTTAAGTTGGGGGTAAATTATACATTTTGAACAGATTTTTAAGTATTTTTCTTTAACCTGCTTGGATTTTGCAAAAGTTTATTGTAAAGGTCAGTTATTTTTAACATAGCTTTAGAGGAGCTGACCTGTTCTTAAGACCACAACCTGACACACAGATTTTTCTCAAGAATTATGCTGAAGCTGCAGTGTTTCTGGGGAAATGTTTCAAGAATATAGATCTTCTATTAAAGATGGGAAAGTAGGTGATATTTTTAAAAGCCCTAAGCACTGAATATTTGGTTTGAGTGGTTAAGTGTCATATCGAGGAATGACACAATATTTATCACACGAGGTAAGAGTTGTTTTCCTCTTTTTAAAAAATGGAAGCCAACCAAAAATTCTGTAGTCCACCAAAATGGAAAGTGGGACCGTGTATACTGCTCTGTGTAAGTGATATTTAAAATCTTCTATGCACTATCAGGTTTTTAAAAGTGATTCAGTTACTAATCTTGAAATACTAAACTGTATACAGTAATGAAGAGTTTACACTCACAAGTTTATGGTTTGGATAGCCAGGAAAGCTACTGTTATCTTGGCCCAAGATCGACTAGACAGCAAGTAGAAATTACAGTTCTCGCTCCAATGACGCAGTATAAGAGTGGACTGCGATGATGGGAACATAACCTTAATCTGTAAGGTATCATTTTCTAAAACGGGCAGAGGCTGAAGCTGTACTACATGCAAGTAAAACAAGGTGAACATTTTCTCTCCAACAGATCTCTTCTTTGAGATCTGCTGGTTAATTTTTTAGTGTCTTCAATTGTTGGGAATTAAAAGATGTTGCTGCAAAACTGGATCTTTCACATGTTAACCATGAGGGACATGAATGCACTTATTAATCCTGAAGCAAGCTGTCTACATGCTGTCATAAAAGCCTCCATGACTATGGAATAATACTTTGACAGTTTTTAATGTGCTGTTAAAAAAAAAAAAGACATCTGCAGGTCTATAAGGTACCAACATGTTCTTAGTAAGAGTCAAGTAAAAGCACCTTAATTCTGAAACTATCTCTGAGTTTTTAAAAAAAATATCTAAACAAACACTATTAACAAATATTCAAAGATGAATTGCATGAACTGCACTTCTGCCAATGCTCTTATGTATAGTTCTGCTCCAGAGCTGTTGTATTATTATTCTTTCTTCTGACCCCCTTTACAAACAAAATTGAAGGGCCTTCATTGTGCCTATGTCAGCAATGAGATTTTTTTCATAAAGTTAATGTAAAGATGTTTGTTGTAACTGTTTATAATCTGCCATTGTAAATAAATCAATACTATTTGAGCACAAGTTGTTTGGACAAAAGGATGTTCTGGCTAATTACGATTTCTGGGGGTTTAAATGTTTCCATAACATCTTGTAATGCATTTAATTCCAATAGTGAAGTCAACAAAGGCAGAATGTACAGAAAGCACTCTAGATATGCTGGACTATCAGTGCTGAGGCCAAACATATGATACTCAAACATCTTCAAAGCATTATAAGATTTTAATACCCTTTGGTAATTTGCAACTATGGTGGTCCATCATAGTTGACATTTATCCCTGAAAGGGTTAACTCTAGTGTAAGAGAAGATAGCCTTTTCAATCATCTGCGTATAAGAGGGGGGAGTTATATCATTGTTTCATCATGTGGAGGTAAGCAGAGAAAAATTATTCCAAGCAACATCAGCTTGCTTATTATCTAGTTGCTTCTATGTACACAAGTGCAAAACTTAATAATTCAGAAAGTATTGAAAACATTCTTACAGCTATGAAAAAAGTTGTAGGTAGAAATACTTAAATTATGTAGAAATTTCCAGTAAAAGCAGACTAGAGTTCTTAAAATGAAAGTTTATGACAGTAGAATATATTGCTTACCATTTTAGCATATTCAGACACACATATGGAAAACAATTCTCTTAGTGCTCACCCAGGCTATGGAGGAAAATCCATACCTCCATGTTGCTGCTGCTTCATGTTGCCTAATGGTTTCTTATGCCTACCTCTTTTGTCTACATTGCACTGGCCCTTTTATAGGAACAGGATGTTTATAGTATATTCCACAATGTTTGTTGACATTTCATTCTCCTAACCTGCAGCCTGCATAGGGAGTAACAAAATCCAATAACCTCTGCTACGTTAGCAAAAATCACTGATAGGGAAATTTTAAGTAAATCTGATTGTTGCTTACATACAGTAGCAAAAAGACTGGGTTTTGCTATGAAGTCCACTAAAGTAGCAGATTCTGTTGACTTAACATTTTAGCAATCTAAAGTCCATTGAAATTCGGTGATACTTTTACATCCCACAAAAAAATAATGGATTTGCATAGGGAATTGTTTAATTACTCTGCAGTGACCTCTCATTGGCATTCAGTACCTTACTACTTAGAGTCGCAAGTTGAGACGGGCATGAACCTCAGTTCAGAGGTTTGTGGCAGTTCCCTTCCCTCACCCCCCTGGCCATTGATCCACTCACCAGCTGGGCCATGCTCCTCTCCTCTTTGGCTGTTCAACCAATCCCTGGCAGGAAAATGGGGCTGCCTGCCCTGCCTCCTTCTCTGAGTGGGCAATCAGCCAAGGAGGTGGAGCAAAGAAGCTTGTGCTCCTGCCAGAGAGTGGTTGAACAGCCAAAGAGGAGGAGGAGAGGAGTGCACACCACCTGGGGGGGGGGTTCCAGCTAGGGAAGCAGAAGGAAATGTGCAGCACCTGTGGTACCATGTATATAAACTGGCATAAACATTTTTGCATATAAAATTAGCAAATTTGACAATCTAGCAGCAGTCTAGATTGAACTCTAAGAAGAAAAATTATTAAACTGAGACTTGTTTAAGTCTCTGAGGAGGATGCTAATGCTGGGGAAAGTTGAAGGGAGCAGGAAAGAGAAGACAAGTTTGCTCCAGAAGGGAAATGATGACCTTGAATCTTCAAGAACTGGAAACTACTATTTCAGAGGATCACCATAATGTTTTAAGTGACTTGCCAATATGTAACTAAACAAAATAAGGCACATACTGTAGAAGATGTTTTGGGGTTTGGAACCCAGACAGCCAGTCCTGTTCTTCCTTGCCGGTATTGGCTGTCGCCTTTGAGGATAAATTTTTGCACAGGGCTACAAATAGAGGAATATATGTGTTGCACAATTTGACACACAAAATAGGTGTAATCAGGTACTGCTTTTATTTCTTGAATAAGGGGAGCAGGGTTGACTGAGCAAGTAGGTCACTGCTTCCACTGTGATCCTGAGCTGCTGGTGAAGAGCTGCAAACAAATTTCACACACGATGACTTAGTCCAGTGTTCCTAGAGTCGGCGTTTTGACCACAACGGCACAAAGCTAAGTTCTGAATAAACAGGCCAGTTTCTAAGTTACCACAAGAGTTAGATGCTTTTGCTGCCAAAAGTTAACAGGGTTATCCACTGGAAACTTATGCATATGAATTTCGTTGTATGTGTATATACTTACAATGACAATAAATTATTATTATTATTATTATATTGTTTGAGGCTACTCATTCCCAGAGACAGTTAAGAAAAACTGCTTTTTTGGACTACAACTCCCATCCAGCATGGTGCTAGTGCATGGGAGCTTTCGTCCAAAAGAAGGCATTTTTCCAAAGGACTCCCATCCAGCATGGTGCTAGTGCATGGGAGCTTTCGTCCAAAAGAAGACATTTTCCCAAAGGAGAAATTAGGGCAATACAATCACGTTTGAGAGATGAGGAATGCAATGGCGTCCTATTGAACAGAATTGCACTTTCGACGGAGGAAATAGAGTAAAAAGTAACGCTGCCTAAACAAAATCTGCCGGCAACTCAGCCCATCCTTCCCTTTAGCTCAGCTGTGGCTGATAAGAACTACTGGTGGAAGTTTTTCAGGCCAAGCATCAACACTTGACCGCTTGCTCATTTCTCAAGGGGACTTGGGAAGAAAACAAAAACAAAAACCCATCAATACCGACGACAGAGAAAAATGTTGGTCTTTCGCTCGCTTCTTTTTCTGCAGGCGATACTGTGAGATCTTTAGCTGCTTTTATTTGCCTGCTATTTATTTATTTTATTTTATTTATATCCCGCCTATCTGGTCTTGCGACCACTCCAGGCGGCTTCCAAACACATAAAAACAACATATAAATATAACAAAAAAAATTAGAGGCTCTGATCTTATGAAAACATAAACATCGGATGGACAGCGGGGGGGAACGAACCTCCCCGCTCACAGCAGCGCCTTCCTTTCCCGACCCAAGGCCATTTCGTGCTTTCCAGATGTTTTGACTACGACACCCAGAAGCCTTAGCCGATGGTCAGGAACGCCGAAAGGCGTGAGGGAAACCTTCGGAAGGTGCGCCGAGGTCTCCCCTCTTCCCCCTTTCCAATTCAGCTGGAAGGGGAGCCACGGACGGGATGCCAACCTGCCCGCTCCCTTCTCTGTCTCGTCCTCTCGTTCCAACCTGTCAGAGGGCCAAAGGCAAAAAAACAACAACACGTGGTTTGGTTTTCGCTGTCACCACGACTACATTTCCCGGCGCCCTTTGCTCCCTTTGGGCATGCGCCTTGCTCCTCCCTGCCTAAGACTTCTTTTGTAGTTGGCAGGCGGCGAAGTTCCCTGCTATGCAACTCGCCAGGAGCGTCCTCATGGCCAGTGAGTCGCTGAACGGGCGCCCTTTGCGGTTAGAGAGGTTCTGTGAAAGGAAGATATGTAGGCGTAAAACAGGGGCTCACGCTTCTTCACCCAGCCTCCAATTGGTGTTGTTAGGTTTGGGGGAAATATTTACCGACTGGAGGGACAGGGGCGACTGTGCCTTCTCGATCCGCCCGAGCTAGGAGGGCTCAGTGGAGAGGAGCGCAGCTTGCCGGGGGCTTGGCACCCCCAGTGTGCCATCCTGGAGCACGTGGGGATGATGGGGGGGCGGGCTGCCCTGGTACCTGTGCCGCTTTGGGCAAGTTGCACGGGGCTCCGGCACCACCAGAAGGAAGGACGAGAAAACGGTGTGCTGTATTTCGTACCTAGAAAACTCTGGGAGGATCCTCTTAAATTGGAAGCCACTTGATGACACTTCATTATTACTTGATCCTTTGAAACGACTCCAGAGTCCCAGTCCCAGTCCTGTGCATGGTTACTGTCACATAAGCCCCACTGACCTTCGGTGTCTATTGCTCCAAAGTAAATCTGCCAGAGATTTGCAGCTTGAGCCACTCGTTCCCCTTCAGAGGAAATATTTTCTAGTAGATTTGTGGGTAGAGTGGAGTGAATTTTTAAAAGAATGTTTTTAAGAGATTGCAGTGCGATTCACGTGTATCTTTTCACGACCCACAGGTATTCTGTGTGCTTCAGAAGTTCTGCGTTTCCTTGTCACTGTATTTGAGTTAACAGTGGATTTCTCAGTGTTTCTGTTTCTCTCTTCAGTGGTGAAGCCAGCTGCGCGGAGTAGTTTCTTCCACCAGCTGATTTTGTCAGACCATGATTTTCTATCTATTGTGTTTTATTCCAGTGGTGGGTCTTTTTGCCTCAAGCACCTTAGTTTTGGTTTCTCTGCACAGATGTGGGTGGGTGACTTTATTCAAGGCTGAGTCTCTCCACCTAACCTCAGCTAAAATACTTTGTTCAAATAACAGGTTTCCCTTTGTGCTTCAGGTATTTAGCAATGGTAATGAAGAAATCCAGCTCAAAATAAATTGACCATTGGAGTGACCAGTACAACATTTTGAAGGGCTCTGCTGTGCCTTGCATTGTAGATCTGGGCTGCTCTGAAATGCCTTTTAATGGTTAATTTGTCCCGATTCCTCTTTTAGGCTTCAGTTCTAAATCAGCACACAGTGAGATTTAATGCTGGTGACTAAACACGGGTAGGAGTGTGTTTTCATAAAGCCTTTTAGACATTTGTGAGTTGTGTACTGTATGCTTGACAAAATGTAAACACAAAATTAAATCAGTCTTTCACTTTGTGTGTATGAAATTATAAGCACACCCTCCTGTCTGGAATGGGAATCAGTTGAATCCCTCCAGACTCAGATTTTGATCCAGATTGGGTACAATGTATTTATTCTAGAGTAAGAAAAAAGATGGCCTTCCTTTGTCCTTCTTTTCTGAAGAACATCTGTTCTTGACAGACTCTCTCAGTTGCTTGACTATGTTCTGTGCAGAACTCGGAGCAATACTGGTACAATACCAGGGCTTCTGTTTCCTTTCAGATAGATCCTCTTTTTTCTCTTTCCATATTTCTCTTTTAGATTTTCGTATAGCACTCATCCAGCTCCATGTATCTGCTGTCAAAACGGAGAATCTTAACCGCGCCTGTGGCTTTGTGAGGACTGCAGCAAAACAAGGAGCAAACATTGTGGTTCTGCCAGTGAGTCTTTGCCAATATTTTCTCCACCTATTAACCTCACAAAGCCATCAAACATTTGCACGGTGTTTCAGTCACATGCTTTGTATTCCGGTCTTTCTCTCTAATGCAGTTAGGTTTTTACAAGCAGGTTTGAAATATTTTAATTATAGTCACATATTAGGTTGTCCTTTGATGTTTTGTTTGGTTTGAATGCTCATATATTTTCTTAAATAGATTTCTTGGGGCAGCAGACAGTCGACCTACTGTTTTAAATGCAGAAGGCAACACATGTGAAGTATACTACTTAAAACAAAGGGAGGGAAAAGCAGTTCCCTAAACAAAGGACAAGAAGCCATAGCAAATATAAGAATACTGTAGCTTAAATGATGCAATAAAATAGCCTCATAGGCATGGATGAAGAAAAAAGATGTCAACAAATGCTAAAAAGACAGTAATGAAGGTGCCAGGCAAGCTTTTCTGGGAGACCATTCTGAAGCCAGAGGATTACGATGAAAAAAGGCTATTTGCAACAGGTCTTTTTCCTCACCTTTTCCTAACAGCACAGACCTCCAGGTGTAACAAAGGGTCATCTAGGCCAATGCTGTCTATGTGGACTGGCACCTCAGGATGAGGTGGGTGAGCCTTTAAAATTGGAAAATCTTTGCCAGTGATCACACCACTGGCAATCTGGTGCAATTGTAAAGGCTTCCTCCGTCCATCTTGAAGCACCCGAAAGCTTCCTCGGGGCAAAAGGATTCCCTAGGAACCTTCTAATCTTGAAAGGGGATGGGTATAGAAAGTTTTAAATGAAAATAATAATTAATGGTGCCAGGTGATATCATCACTATGCATATGGTGTAGGTCTCCTAGCTGGATTTCAGCCAGTGAAACATAACCAGCCCAGAGACAACAATATCTGTGGCATCTTAACCAGATTCCTTTTGAATCCCCCTTTCCCACTCCTTGTGTTGCTTTGCATGTTATAGTAAGCCAGGTGATCACACCACTGGCAGTCTGGTGCAATTGTAAAGGCTTCCTCCCCCCCCCCATCTTGAAGCACCCAAAAGCTTCCTCGGGGCAAGAGGATTCCCTAGGAGCCTTCTAATCTTGAAAGGGGAGGGGTATAGAAAGTTTTAAATGAAAATAATAATTAATGGCGCCGGGTGATATCATCACTATGCATATGGTGTAGCTCTCCTAGCTGGATTTCAGCCAGTGAAACATAACCAGCCCAGAGACAACAATATCTGTGGCATCTTAACCAGATTCCTTTTGAATCCCCCTTTCCCACTCCTTGTGTTGCTTTGCATGTTATAGTAGGGTATAGAAAGTTTTAAATGAAAATAATAATTAATGGCGCCGGGTGATATCATCACTATGCATATGGTGTAGCTCTCCTAGCTGGATTTCAGCCAGTGAAACATAACCAGCCCAGAGACAACAATATCTGTGGCATCTTAACCAGATTCCTTTTGAATCCCCCTTTCCCACTCCTTGTGTTGCTTTGCATGTTATAGTAAGCCAGGGTTCTGGGACAGGCAGAATGGACAAACAGTTATCAACAATTTGTTTATCATGATGTCCAAAACTATCATTTTGGCTCGTTTGTCCCCTGACATACCAGCACCGTAAAACGGTAACAAACTGTGGTTCTTTTCTGACCACACTTATTTACTTATTCATTCCTCCATAACCAGTCAGGCCATGCACATAAACAGGCATGAAAACCACTCTTAAAATGTGGCAGTTAACATTTAACATACAAGTAGGAACAATCAGCAAAATAATAAAATAATAATTCTTAAACAAGAATCTAGTACTGTAGTACAGTTGACATGCAGAGATTGTGAAGCAGGGAACAAATTCCATCTTTCCATAGCATGTTTAACAATTTGGCAGTCCTGTAGGATATGTAATAGTCTGTGCCAACTAGCTAAAATAAACTTACTTAGAGGAGAATTGTTTCTTTTCTTGACCTGTTAAACAAGTAAACCCTAGATTATTTAGCTACAATCTGTGATTGCCCAGTGCCTTTGTGTAGTAGTAAAATAATTCTGGCATATGGCGTCATCTGAATTTACCGTGTAAGTAAGGAGATTTTGAAGAGAATCAAATTAATGAATTGCTGTGGTGTAGCTGTCAGACTAAGGTTACATGTCTTTTAAACTTTATGTCCTTAGTCTCTTTCCTTTTTTTGTTCTTACTATTATTTATCTCATATTGCAGTGTGATTTTTTAAAAAAACCCAACAACTTAATAATATGTTGCTTTGCACCACACAATATCCATTTACTGTAGTGCTAAAGTTTTTTTCAATTGCTTCCTGTCATTCTTGCTGCAGAACTTTCCTGCCTGTGTTGGTTATTAACCTTCTGCTGCAGCCTATGTGACTCAACAGTGCAAAGTTCTTGACAATTCAGCCATAACATTTTAAGTGGGGGGAAATGACTTCTGCCCCAACACTGGGACCTCTTGGGTTGCATAAATCTTCCACTGCTATGAGCTGTACAAGCAAAGCATGCAGATAAAGAAGACCAGCGTTGCTTATCCTTCTGTGAGATGCCTAGATTAATTGGAGAGAGCTATGCTTCCTATATGCATGTCAACCAAGCATTTCACAAAAACGTAAAGGTTGGAGAAGATGGGCACGCTGGGCTAGTCAGTAAATCTTTCCTAATGAGGCTTTCCCTCATTTTTCATGGAACTTTAGTGTCCCACTTTCATTTCCAACTCTTCCTTACCTTCCCATAACTTTTTCTGGTTTCCACACCTTTCCTCCAAAAGTATGTTAAGAAGGAAAGGAGAATAATTGCATTACATATTCTGATTGTTAGTACCAGAAATGCATTTCTGCCTTCCTTGTGTAAAAATTTAGAATAGCTATTCTACACAATGTTTGCTTCCACACTAGAACTGCAAACAGAAGCTAGGGCTTCATTATATATTCTGGAATGGAAATGACAGAAGGGAAAAGGAAAGAAGTGAAGTGGTAGGTAGAGATATAAACTTTTTTAAAAATTCCATTTTTTTCTGGAAAAAAATTCACCCCATTTTTTTCTGGAAAATAATGGATTTTTTTTAAAAAAAATTACACCTCTAGTGGTAGGTGAACATTTCTTAAAAGTGACATAGTTTGACAGCTCCACAGGCTGTGAAAGTGACTATAATTTCACATTCTGCCCAGATTGTGTTTGTTCATGTCCTGATCTCAAGGTTAGATCATTATAATGCAGCCTCTTGACCTTTGTGAGGGAAAAGATCACTTGCTAACATTGTGTGTTGAACCCAGCGTTGGTATTACTGTCACTTTGATCGAAAGAGGAGGAACGGCTTGGAAGTTTGATTCCCACTGTGCCTCCATAAGCCCATGAGGTCCAAGAAGAATACTTAAAAACAACAACAAATGTAGCTGGCCATATTTTGTTAGGTCATGATGTGTTACAGGGACATCAATTTCATTCTGTTCCCAATTCTAGGAATGCTTCAATTCTCCCTATGGGACAAAATATTTTCCAGAGTATGCAGAGAAAATTCCCGGAGACTCAACACAGAGGCTCTCAAATATCGCCAAGGAGTGTGGCATATATCTCATAGGAGGTAAAACTGCTTACGTATATCAGTCCCCCTGACACCCTCTAGGCATCGTCTGTATTTAAGAACTATACTGGATTATAGTGATGATTACATTTGAATACCTGGCAAAGTAATTCCATTTCTTCTTTCTACTTAATGAAAGGTTCTATCCCAGAAGAGGATGCTGGGAAGCTGTATAACACATGTACTGTTTTCGGTCCGGATGGTACAATGATAGCCAAGCACAGAAAGGTAAAGATAAATAAATTGATCGGTTTAGCTAGCTTGTGATCACTCTTCGGGCTTCATTCAGACTCTTCTGCTTTGACTGTATCATAGCTTTCTAGCTTCATTAAATCTGGTTATTCTGTGAACCCAACATTTTAAAAAATTGTTTCTGAGTTTTCTTATTCTCCTTCCCCTCTTCTCTTTTGCTTTTCTGTGACATCTTGTTTGATAGTAAGGCTGCTATTCCTTTGTTTTTGCAGAAGGGCATGCTATTCCAGGTAAGCCACAGAACTGCACAAGATTTTGGCCATAGACTGTTAAGTATCTTTTTAGAGCCATCTCTAATGTGTAAAGAGTATGACCGTGGTCAATGTATCTGATGCAGCATAATTTCTAAGCCCTGTCTTTTTTTTGAAAACAGATTCACTTGTTTGACATTGATGTTCCTGGAAAAATCCGATTTCAAGAATCAGAAACGTTGTGTCCTGGTGACTCGTTCTCTGTGTTTGATACTTGTACGTAAAAGATCTGCATTTTATCTGTAACCAATAAACTTAAGAGATGCCATCTCATAGCATGACTTAGCTCATGAAAAGGAAAACAGTGTAGATATGTGTTGATTCTCTTGTTTATATTCAGTTCTGCGAAGGCCACTGTAACAGTGTACATACTCAGCACCTAGAGAGGAATGCACGAACATCTTGATTACCCTCCGATAGGGAGACTAGTCTTTCGCAGAGAACCTCTCCCATTTGTGGGGAATCTTCATGTGAGTTGAAACGTTTCATCTCATATGCATCATAGGGGGAGTTAGAACTAGCCCACTCACCCTTTTCCATGTCTTGCAAGAATGCACTTCTAAATGGCTAAATAGAGCTCATTTTTATAATTTTTGGTTACATGAAAAGACAGCTGTTGTTAAGAATGAAAAAAAACTGTTCTGGATCAGACTAAAGGTCTCTGTAGTCCCTCATCCTGATTCTGAAGTGGAAGATCAGATGTCTTTGAGAAGGCTGCAAGGAGAACAGGAGTAAAACTGCACTTTTGTGCGTGTCTTCTCCCACAACTGGTATTCAGAGGCATAGCCCCTCTGGTACTGGAGGTAATTTTAGGATGCATGGAAAAGTAGCCATCCCTGAATTCATCTAGCCACCCTTAAAGGCTGACAGCCTGCAATACAGAATTTTGCCATTTAACTCTGTGTGCTATGAATAAATACTTCCTTTTATCGATCCTGTATTTTTCACTCTTTTTCTCTCTGTTGCGCATCATCATCTGTATTTTCTTAATGAACCTTTCATTAAATTTGGAGGGATCCTCTTGCCCTCCTTTGTTATAAACCCCCTAAATTATTTGATGTCATAAGCAGACTTCGGCCACTTCATTTCCTGCCCTCAACACTATACCATTTATGAACAAGTGAAATAGCACCAGTTCCGATAAAGATCCTTGAGAGACCCTATCATCTATATCCCCCATTGAAATGTGAAATTGAATTATAATGTACTGTCATATTTTTACTCTTGTGGCTTGAGGACACAGAGGGAGTTCAGAATCCAAGAGTTTGTGCTGGTGTTATAGTATATTTTTTATGGGATTTTTCTAAGCCTTAAAAAAAGAAATATTTATTCATTTATAAAGAGTGTCTTATGTATTAATGAATTGTTTTGTGATTTAGCTCAGACTTGTTCTTATATACATATGTTTATAAATCAGGACTTCCTCCTTCCTAGTAAAAAATTGTTGTATACTAATTTCTCAACATTGAACTTACATCATGTCAATTTGTTTTTGTTTATGGGCAGCATATTGCAAAATAGGGCTTGGGATCTGCTATGACATTCGTTTTGCTGAGCTTGCTCAAATCTACACCCAGAAAGGTAAGCACGTAGCTGCTGATGTGCTTGTGGGGTGGGGTATGGGGTATCATCTCCCCATGGCTGGAACCTACCCATTCCTTGTGTGTCTGTATTAGAAGCACTTGAACTTGCCACCATATAGCCAAGGCCTGCTACAAAATATGGTTCCTTGAGTAAACGAGCATTCTGTACCACCACACTGGCTCAGACATTTAGTGTGTGAGGCTTCACTGTGAAAACCCTGTGCAATATGGTTGACAGCAACCTGAAAAAGACATTAAACTTTTCCTATTTTAGAAAGAGTTTGGAGCCACATGCTATTCTCAAAATTGCAATAAAAATATACGAGATATTGAAAGCAGAAGATAAGCAGAAAAAAGATAAAAGACAAACAGAAACCAGAAAGGTCAGCTAAAGGAAGAAAAGGATCTGAAAAATTTTAATAGCAAATATATGTACTCAAAAGTTAGCAGGAAAAGACAGGTAGGCCTTTGGCCACTGTTTAATGAGAATTAACCCTTTAATAATGGATGTTGTACTTTCTTTTATTATACTGTTAGGTGGCTTATAAATTCAGTGCTTGTTTTATATGATAATTTATTTAATAGTGGCCAGATTCCTACTAGTGTTGGTAATTCTATGGCTAATTATGAAGTAACTGATTGCCTGCCCAGTTGCAAAACCAGGATGTGCCCAACCACCTCATCAGTGAGCCGCAATTAGTTGCAGCAAATTACACAAACCTTAATAATTGTGTGCCATCACATTGGTTCAGACTTACAGGAACCCTTTCAGGGTTTTCCAGGAAGAGAGTACTGTACTCCAAAGTGGTTTACCATTGCCTTCTTCTGGAGTCAACCTGGGACTGTGCCGATGGCCCATGTCCACACAGGCTAGCGGTTCTAAGATGCACGCTGGGGAATTGAACTCTCATCTTGTGGCTCTGCAGGTAGATACCTAAACCACTGAACTATTCAGCTGTGAACACAAATAAGATTCCTGCCAATATTTTAATTCAGTACTTTCTTGTGTATGTTTTCAAAATTCATGTTGTAAGCCATGTTGAGTCTTGCAAGGTAGGATATAATTAAGACAGGATATAATTAATTCATTAAAGAAATAAGAGATTTGTGTAGCTGCTTTTTTCATCACCATGCCTTGTCCCTTTTGAGAATATGAACCATTTTTGCCATTGTATCCTTCCATTTGAGCCAGGTTGCCAGCTCCTTGTGTATCCAGGGGCATTTAACTTGACAACCGGACCAGCCCACTGGGAACTGCTACAAAGAGCACGGTAAGAATTAGCCAACTATTCCTCCCCCAAAACGTATGTACAAAAAGGATTTGAGAAAATAACTTATTACATCACTTGTTGGTTTGGAGTAAAAAAAAAAGCAAGTTAGAAATGTTGCAATCAGTGTGGAAAAAACAACCCTGTTATGCCTCCCTTTTTGTGTTTATTAATTGGAGTCCTAACTGAACCAGAAATGTTGTAATATCTCTAACATAGTGAATTCGCAATGGAACTCCTGAGCTTCAGAGGTCCATATGCCACATGTTACTAGTTCACAGTTCAGATTTATATATGAAAATAGTTATGGGTGTGATTTCTCCATATGCAAAATAGAAGATGGAAAATCCATAGGACTCAGTGATACAATGGTCAAAGCGTCCAACTAGTATGCAAGAGATTGGGGTTCAAATCCCCACTCACCCATGAAATGTACTGGTTCCCTTAGGTAAGATGCACTCACTGAGCCTAAACCTACCTCACAGGGTTTTTGGGAAGATAAAAGTGAGGAAGACAACCACATAAAAGACCATAAGCTCACTGGAAAAACTGTGACATAAATTGTAACAAACAACAAAATAAACTGAGAGGCAGGGAAGGATTAGCATGCGGCCCTCCAGCTGTTGTTATGTTGCAGCTCCTGTCATCCTTCATTGTTGGTTCTGCCAAAGAATGGGCGTTTCAGGGCCCCAAATTCTGTATTTGTGCTAAAAAAAAGCTGATTCATTCCAATTGCCTCTTGGTTTCTCAGACCATTTTAATATTTATACAGTGTATTCAGCCTTATGTTTTAACTTCCCATTCCATTTTTGTTCAGAGCTGTCGATAATCAAGTCTATGTGGCAACTGCCTCTCCTGCTCGGGATGAGAAAGCATCTTATGTCGCTTGGGGACATAGCACTGTAGTCAATCCATGGTGAGTGGGCAATTAAGGTCTTGTAATGCAGTAGTATGGCCAGATAAACACAAAATAATTAGAACCTAAATTAGAACCCAATTAGAACCTTAAAAGATTTAGCAAAAAAGGAACTTTCCTATTAGCTGCTGAATCCTGGCCAATAAAAGCCAAGCAGCTTGGGGCAATGAGATTGTGTATAAGTTGAAATGTGGTTTTTGATGTGTCTCCATGGAAATGGCTTAATGAGTTTTCAGGAAGGCACCACAGCTGCTAAGCAGCTGCCAAGGATGCTACTTTCTCTGTGACTTGGGTGATGTAAGGACGAGGCAACCTGGAGGGGCACACTCTTGCTTCAAAGATCATGGTTTACAACTTTCTTAATTGAAAAATTGGCAGCAAATGTATGTAAGCATGTAGTTCTCTTTCGTCAATCACTTGGTAGTTGAGAAAACCCTGAGTTTGGCCCAAGAGTTTTCATGCCACATTTTTGTTTGCAGAGTGAAATTAGTGGATTTAGTCCTCTAACAAACCAGTGGTTAGTGCACCTCTGGAAAATCATCCCATTCAGATTTCTTCTAAAGGAAAATACAAAAGGTAGCATTTCCTGCTTCATGCAGGAATCCAAGACAAAGTAGATCTGACAGAGGGTTATCCAGTTTTCTCTTGAATGCCTCCAGTGTTGGAGGGCTCACCACCTGCCAAGATATAGAAACCATACAGCAGAGTTGAGCTGTGAATTTTCTTCCATGAAACATAATTCTGGGCATGAATTTAGTCAGATTTAAAAGGTGACTAGCTAACTTCTCAGATACAAACCGTCGTCCTTCACACACCAGCGTCATTTCCTTTAATTTTGTCAAGGAGAGCAATCTTATTTTAAATGCTACCTTCAAATGTTAGTTCATTGGAAAACTGATTGCAGCAATATACTTTAGGGATCTATTATGCTTGTATTCAAAATTCACAGTAGTATGTATACACCAGCTTTTCTGTTCAGGAGGGCAATATCTTTGCTAATTTTTAGAGCTACATTTGAGCTAAATCTAACACCAGTCCTACCTTGAATAAACTCTTTAAAATTAGTGGGCTTGCTATTAGTGGAACTAAGTGTATTTAACCTTAGATAAACAAACACAGAATAAGACTACCAGTGGCTTCTGATATAAATTTTGATTTAGATGGTTAAATTCTGTTAGATCTTAGCATACTAAACAACAACGTTCTTGTGAGCTTTTAAACTGATCTTATGGCTGTGTTCTCTAGAGCAATAAAGCATACAGGAAGGTTAAGCTGAAACGAAGATTAAGAGGTTTATTTAGGAAAAAAAACTGATAGAAAATCCTGTCCTAAGCCAGAAAACCATGTCTCAAGGCTCAGCACATTGGGGTCCAGAAAGGACGGGGGTTTAAGCTCACTCTCAAGAGATGTTAAAAGCTTGAGTGTTAGACAGGAAGTGGTAAACCCTTAAGAGGAGCAAAAAGGACAGCGAGAAAAACCTAGTGAAAGGAATAGTTACACTCTTATTTCCAGAATGGGCATCCATAGGGAGAGATGCAAAAGAGGTGATTATTTTGGATGATTCATTCAACAGCTCCTGCTCATGACGGCTCCAACAGAGTCAGTATGGTTCTGTTTATCTCCTGCTGGTGAATACAAACAGAGGGACGCAGTTATGCTTATCTCACATTTATAGGCCTCCATGCAGCATTTGGCTGGCCACTTAGTGGGCTACGGAGGCCCTTGAAATAATCTAGAATGCTTCTTCATATGGCTGAGACATACATTCAGAATGAAAACTCAAAGGGAACTTTGTATGCCTTTATGAGTATCAGGGTTTTGGGACAGTTTGGGTTGATGACTTCTCACAGGATGTCTATGAAGTTACTAAAATGTGCTAATAGACCACAGAGCCTCAAATCTTTGGACACTTCAGATGAAAGATAAAATAATCTAGAATGCTTCTTCATATGGCTGAGACATACATTCAGAATGAAAACTCAAAGGGAACTTTGTATGCCTTTATGAGTATCAGGGTTTTGGGACAGTTTGGGTTGATGACTTCTCACAGGATGTCTATGAAGTTACTAAAATGTGCTAATAGACCACAGAGCCTCAAATCTTTGGACACTTCAGATGGAAGACACCAAGTTATATACAGTGGTGCCTCGCATAGCAACGATAATCGATGCAGCAAAAACCGCTGATAAGCGATTTCATCACTATGCGATTTTTAAAAAGCCTATAGAAACGCATTAAAACCTGTTTAATGCGTTCCTATGGGCTAAAAACCTACCTTTAAGCGAAAATCCTCCATACGGCGGCCATTTTCGCTGCCCGGTAAGCAAGGAATCCGTCCCTAAACACAGCGGGCGACCATTTTTTTTGCCCGGTGGCCATTTGGGAACCACCGATCAGCTGTTAAAAAACCATCACTTTGCGATGATCGGTAAGCGAAACAGGGAACTCATCATCGCAAAGCAAAAAACCCCATTCAGACCATTGCAAAGCGATCGCAAAAAGTTAATCACTATGCGATTTCGTCGTTAAACGGGGCGCCCATTAAGCGAGGCATCACTGTACAGGGATCCCTTACAAACCTCAATTCCCTGACTTAAGCGAGGCACCACTGTACAGGGATCCCATACAAACCTCAATTCCCTGATTGCAAGTAGTACAACAGAAGTGTGCAGAAAGAGTTGAGGGAATAATCTTTTCTGGAGCTGTCCTTTTTCCTAAATATATTTGCAAGTCTCCCATGTCAGTAACTTCTTTAAAAAAGCAGAATTGAGCAAGGTTTGGAGACCAGAAAAGTTCTACTGACCATCTTTTCAGGTTTCAGAAAGCTTCTGGGTTTGATTCAAATTCAAATGAGGTTTTTCTAGCATAATGTTCTGCTAGACTCTAGAGGCACACAGGATGATGATATTTTCTGGAGAGCTTCTGAAACTTCTGGTATGGCGTTGGGGGAATGCAAAAGGAAAGGGGAGTTGTTGAATGTCACCTCCACTAGATCAATTACTCCTGTAAGGTTTAAGAACTGCAGATCATGTCCCGATCCACTCTCATTTGGGTCATGAAGTCATTCGGTATGAAATACTCTCCTTTCATTTTCAGGGGGGAGGTCATAGCCAAAGCTGGCACTGAAGAAACTATTATCTACGCAGAGATAGGTGAGTCAAAGTGAAGTGTTTTTGGCCTTTTGGTGGGTAGAATCTCTTCCTCTGCTACAGAACCTTGTGCTGTTTTGGGTGCAACATACTCTCTTGGCCCCAGTGCCTTACCTATACATTGATACAACTGATCATTCTCCATGGTTATAATGGAGTACACACAAAGTAGGCAACAGCTCCAAATGTGTTACAAACATATTTAGCAGTTTCATGGAATAATAGATTCATGGAATAATGGAAGGGTCTATAAAGCCATGGAGTTCAAACCCCTACTCAGTGCATTTCACTCTTATCAGACTACATTGAAATTCTCACGTGAATGTACTTTGTATTCATACGTGATAAGTATATATTTACCTATAATTGTAATATGGTGACGGAAAAGAATTAGCCATAATATAAGCCTTTTGATTTTTTTATAGATCTAAAGAAGCTTGCAGAAGTTCGTCAACAAATCCCTATTCTTTCCCAAAAGCGGTCAGACCTGTATGCTGTAGAAGCAAAAGCTACATGATGGACTTGGACCAATACACTAATAGTTTTAGTCAAATTTTTTAACAATTAAGTAAGTTCAGTATAACAAGGTAGGAAATCAAATTTATAAATAATAATTTGTGTTCGGAGAAATCTGAAGGTGAGATGTTTATGCATATTTGTATAGGTCCTTCAATATTTCATTTGCTTCATTGTATATTATAAATTAATCACTGAAGCAGTGATAATACATACAGCACATTCTTTAAGAAAATAAAGTTATTAACTATTATGCACCAACATAGGCTTTTGCACTAACACATTCTAACAAGATAAGAATTTTTTACTGTTTTGATACGCACCAGTGTTCATTCATTTGTGAGGAAAATTAGTCATCCCTGTTTCACATAAAGAAATCTAAAAAGATTAGGTCATGAAGTCATTTGGTATCAAATAATAAAACATCTAAGTAGATTTTTAAGATGCTTCTTGTTTTAAATTAGAAGTTAGGTCAGTGCTATCAAGTATTTCTAATTACAAGAGGATGAGCAATCTTTCCTCATTCCACATCCCTTCGACTAAAGCTCCTCTAAACCTTTGCTGCTGGCTGTGTTGGTTAGCACTTCTGATAGCTGAAGGCCAAAAGCTGTGGAAGGTCCTTTGCAAGACTAGTTGATATTATCTGCTTGTCATACCAAGAAATCCAATGTCTTTCGTTTCCTTCATGTGCCTGTGCCAACATGAGAGATCAGTACTGAGACCAGTTTCAATAATGACACTGATATAGAGACTGACAAAGTTAATATGACAGCACAGTCATAATTGGTGTAAAAATGACCATGAACAGTGGGGTGATTTACATGTAATGATATCTCCAAAAAATTATATGTGGTGAAAATACCTTATCAAAAATGCGAGAACACTACTGAGCATGGTGATTATGTCTGATCTCATCTAAAAAAAGTGTCAGACCTTACATGCACAGAAGTTATGATGTTCTCTGACATGAAATACTCATTTTTGTGTGTCCATTTGCCAGAGGAATATTTCATCAACAACAAAACAGCATTTAAAGAACGCTACTGGACCAAAGGCTCTGAAGGCAGAAAAGAAAACAAAGGGAAAAAAGCCAAAAGCTGTAAAAAAAGTATAAAGAAATCAAGATAAATAATAATCAGAAAGATAACCACAAAACTATAAGTATTACTCAACCCTGTCTGATATATTCTGCTATTCACTGCCAATGCGTCTTAGAAACCAGAAATGAGATAGCTTTCTAATGTCTGTGCTCTTGCCAGGAGGGGTGGGATACCATCAAAACTTACGTATCTAGACATTTATGAACCATAATTCTGCACAGGCAAAGACCCTTATGTACATAATGAAAAAGAGTAGGTACACTTGCTTCATACTGTATCCAAGATAGACATCTCTGCCCAGCTCACGGTTGGCAAGGATACCCTACAGGAACTATCTGTGATTCTCCCTTCAACAATTGTCCTCTGTCTTCAAACTACCAATTATGAAAGTGCTTACTGGGTACAGCCATGTGGCTAAAGGCTAAACAGTCTTCAAGCACAGAGACACAATTTAAATTAACAAGTGCATTTAAAGAAATTGCATTACCCAAGAGGCACAGCTGTACATTCCTCTTAGTATGTAGGCCAAGTTTTAGATACCTGGCTTTCATTCTCTTGAAGTTACAGGTCTGACACTTGTGACTTGCTATAGACACAGTTCCAACACAGTGGACAGGTAACAGACTTAGTTATACTCAGAAGAGATATACTGAAATCAATGGGGGTATAATTAGGACCACTGTAAGTGCCAGTGATTTCAGTGAGTCAGATTTTAAGTGTAAGTATGCTGTGGGTTAAACCGCAGAAGCCTCTGTGCTGCAAGGTCAGAAGACTAGCAGTTAAGATCGAATCCACACGATGGAGTCAGCGCCCATCATGTATCCCAGCTCCTGCCAACCTAGCAGTTAGAAATCATGTAGATAAATAGGTACCACCATGGTGGGAAGGTAACAACGTTCCGTGTCTAGTCACGCTGGCCACGTGACCACGGAAATGGTCTTCGGACAAATGCTGGCTCTATGGCTTGGAGACAGGGATGAACACCGCACCCTAGAGTTGGACATGACTGGCTAAATGTCAAGGGGAACCTTTATGGATCCAACCCAATGAACTCAGTCAAGTACAGGAACAGTTTCCCTTCCAAATTCTGGCAGAGGGGATGAATATACCAGATGGGCGGGATATAAATTGAACAAATAAATTAAATAAATAAAAATAAAGCAGTATGCAGCAGATTCATTCACATGCTATACCAGTGGTTCTTAACCTTGGGTTACTCAGGTGTTTTTGGACTGAGCTCCCAGAAGCCTTCACCACCAGCTGTGCTGGCTGGGGTTTCTGGGAGCTGCAGTTCAAAAACACCTGAGTAACCCAAGGTTATGAACCGCTGTGCTATACAAATACAATTTTGAATGCTGATCGTCCAAGGAAAGTGCTCCAGCCAATACCGTGAGCCATATATGTATGAAGGATATTTGAAGGTAAGTTTTATTTTATGACTTTACATGTGTAAGTCATTTACAAAAAAAATAACATATGCATTCTTTCAGTGCAGTTCAAATATCTGAAGAACAGGCAGCAGTCTGTGATGATCTGGAATGCTAGTTATTAGACAGCACATGCTTAATTCTTAATTTCTTTCAGGAGAGAGAAGTGTCAGTGTGAAGTCAGAGCCACGCAAATAAAAACCCTTTTGAAAAAATATGATGCAGTTATGGTTGGGGATGGGAAACAAAGAGATCCAGTAATGCAATAGATAGAAAGCCCAAAAACCCAGAAAGGGGAACAGGGAGCTTGTTCATATCAGCTCTTTCAAAAAAAGAGAGGAGTTGGCTTTTAAAAGTAAACTTATATTAATCAAACTTCTGCTGAATTTCTCCAATATTGTACTGCATTTACCACTTTGAAATAACAGACAAAAGAGTGTAATTGGTTTGTATCAGGACATAGGGCAAAAAGCAGATCCAAATAAAGATGCCATCTTAAAAACACCTGCACCCTACCATGATTTTCTTATCAACTGAAACAGAACTGCAAAAGTTTGGAGAGGCTTCAGTAGCTCCTAAAATAGCATGGTAATTAGTAGCAGTAAACTTCCTAATGCAGAGGAAGACTTAAAACTGAGCTACAAAAGAACAATACTGCAGCTGGATACTTGTGCAGCATCAGTAAGAGCTTTTCTCCTCTCTTTCTGGTAAGAGTAGTTAACTGTGGTTTCCAAATCAGTTGGATCCACTGATCCAAGCTCCAACCCAAAGGTTCAATATAAATTCTACAAAAAACCAATTTTAACAGATTAACACTAAAAATCCAGGGCTTTAGGCAATGCCCATGCAATGGTAGTTTTGCCCTGCAGAAAAACCTTTACAGTTAGGTTCTTTCTCAAGTCAAGACAAATGTTTGTGTTCTGGGATTAGAAGTTTACATCCATAGACAAGTATGCACAACATTATTGGAGATAGAGGCCATTGAGCAGATGATAGTCAAGATCTTCAAAGTTCTCCGAACTATGTACTAGGATAACATTGTTGAGAACTTCAGGTAGCCATTGTTTAAGTAGTTGCCACTATCCTCTTAAGAAGCAGAAAATGTAAAAGTGAGGGAAAGAAACTTTATACATGGTAATAATGTTGAAAATATTGTTTCACCCACAATTGTCTCAAAAATCCCAACTATTAAACAATTTTGCATTTTTTTTCTTATTGCACAACTAAAATGAATTGCATATAAAATTACACAGTATTATTAATTTTTTAAAATCAACCAAATGAAAAGCTGTAAAACATTTTTTTCAACAACTAACCTCAAAACATGAGTCAAAAAAGGTTTTTATTTGCATGGCCAAAATAATCTCTGATCCCCGTGAAACTGTTTTAATCTCCTTAACAATTACTTGGGGCAGGGGAAACAAATTGCTTACTTCCTTGAACAGCCACTCCCACAACACCTAAACATATAACAGATAATTACATCACCACGAACAGAAAAAAAAATCCCATCATTCAACACACTGCAACAGTGTTGTTAGGACAAGATCAAAATGGGCAGCTTTACTTTTAAAACAACATTCCCCGCTTATTGTCTCTTTACAATGTTGGCGGTTTCAGTCCATATTTCTTTGCAACTTCTGTTTGGGCATAGGCAGCATCACAGAGTGAGTAGAGATGAGCCATTTCCATTTCAGATTTGGCTAGGTTAATAGCTTTATTGAACATTTCGATGGCTTTATCCAGATTGCCTCTGAAATAAATAAAAAAATTTATATTATAATAATGAAGCCAGAAATACAACCCAAAAGTGAAGCTGATTCTTCTACACTGAAAAGTCAACTACAGTGGTGCCTCGCAAGACGAGCGCTCCGTTTTATGACGAAATCGCATTACGACGAAGTTTTTGCGATTGCAAAACAATGTTTCCTATGGGGGAATTTCGCTTTGCAATGATCGGTTCCCTGTTTCGGGAACAGATTCTCCCGAAATGACGATTTTTCTACAGCTGATCGGTGGTTTCAAAATGGCCACCGGGTAAAAGAAATGGCTCCCTGCTCTTTTCTGGGACGGATTCCTCGCTGCACGGGCAGCGAAAATGGCCGCGCTATGGAGGATCTTTGCTGGACATTGAGTTTCAAGCCCATAGGAACGCATTAATCGGGTTTTAATGCGTTTCCATGGGCTTTTAAATTTCGCTTTATGATGTTTTCGTTCTACAGCGATTTCGCTGGAACGAATTAACATCGTAATGCGAGGCACCACTGTAGCAAGATATGGGGGGGGCGTACTGTCTTCACCGCCACATCCCGACACATTTCTACTTCAGTAATCCCCAATATTATATATCCTTCACAGAATGTGACAAAGCTTAGCAGATTCTACACACACTGTACATCTAATGAGTTTTGAAAGTTTAATTCAATCTGATACTGCTCATAATTAAAAGTTCAGGTAATTTGGGTCAGGGTTCTTAAGAGAAGACACCTCCCACTGTATATTTCTACTCACTTCCTCAGAATGTGGAACTTTTTGGTTTCCCAACAAGGATACAAGGATGTTTGAGTCTAACTAGTGAGGGAACTTGACAGTGCTTGCATCATCTTTACTGATGGTCATGGCCTGTGAAAAGCAATCTCCTCCTCACTTTTTCAAAGTTTTGTTTTGTTTTTTGGCCAGTTGCTGAGCACCCTTTCATTTTGCCAAGCTTTTGTTACATACAGATGTCAAGTGTTGCCATGAATGGGAGTTCCCAGCTACTCCACACAGGCTATCAATGCAGTATTATTTGGAAGAAGTGGTACACACACATATTAAGTACAAACTATTTGTATAATGGAATATGACACATGTCTATCTTGTCATAAATCAAGCAAATTAACTGACAGTCAAGAGACAAATCAATTTTTTTCTTGTCTCTAATAAATGCAAATTTCTAGAACAGTGAAAGAATCTGAAAGCAAAATCAAATAAGAAAAAATATGATTTTCCCTTTAATAGAATGTAGTTAATAATGGCTAAAACCCTGTTGGCATAACTGAACCTACAGAAGGGTGTTGAAATGATCAGCAGGAAGAGATTTTCAATAATTAAAGATTTCTCCCTTTTCTCCTGTAACTTGTCCAACTTACAAATAATCTTTTTCATTGCATGAAAGCAGCAAGGAGCCACATTATGGAAGGAGGAAGTTTTTAATTGCCAAATATCATTGCTGTAGGGGTAAAACCTTTGGCAATTAAAGACCACCTTCTAAAAATCAAAATAAATTTTAAATAATTTCAATAATTTAAGACTTCTTTCTCTTGTCCTATGGATCCCACAGCTTCTGTGCAATAAATTACATTATTCACAATTTACACAAGCTGCAGGGAAGACAATGAAAACCTTGCCCACTGATGAGCATCATAAAACTTCTACACACGTAGTTCTGCCAGCAGGATTTCAGTCAATGCCTGAGTTTCTCCATACTAAAGTTCTTTCAGTATACTGATTAGGTACTAAGAATAAAAATGTATAGAATTTTATATTTGCAACTATCATTTGGAAGAATTATAGACTCCCATAAAGGTATAGTACATACCTTTGTACTTCAATTGTCCCCATGGTTTCATATGCAAAGTCACATTTGTTATCAATTTCAATGGCTTTGCTAATAAGTTCCAAACCTTTATCTAAATCCTGCTTCCACTGAAGTTGAAGTAAACTGAAAATTAATCACAGATCAGCAATTAATACATAACATACAACATTATCAGAGGATGAAAATAACATTTTAAGAGCAAGAAAACAAGCATATGTCATAACTGTATGTGATGTAGAAATTAAAATAAAAAAAAAAACAGTGTTTCACCCTAGTAAAATCTAAATACAGCTCAGCTGCACATGTCTGCACATTTGCAATTCAATGATGTCTAAAACATGGTAGCTTAATTCTACTTAAATACTACAACTTCTACATTCGTCAGTAAATATTACTGAATATTATTAATCAGATATTGAGATTAAAGCTGATTTCTCAATGATAGAAACTGAAGCATCGTTGTCAAGAAACATTTACAACATCATTTATCATTAAATTTTCAAAGTAAAACGCAACATATCCTAAAATGTGACAATTACATTTGGAGGAACTGTTAAAAAGCAAATTCACTCCATCTTCCTGATGTATTGACTGCTATTTTGTTTGTATGGATTTTCAGGAATTAAAAGGGGCTTCTGCATCTTTTCAAACTATCAGCCAAGTATGTTGCTGGGGAAAAAGTTCACCATGTCTCCCTCTGGAAATGAGGAAATCTTGCAAGAACTGAAACTGTTCATTCAGGTCTGCTCTTGTGTCATAACAATCTGAATGATGAAACTTATATTCTTCATCTCTCTGTACTGCACATTTGTGATTCACTAATCACAGTGGTACTGCTTACCTGATGTCAGGAAACTACATGCATAAGCCAGTGTCCAATGATATTGTGCCAGCACAAGACCTACTGCACTAGCAGTTGCACATTTTCAAAGGTACAAGGATGGTATACCATAATTCTGTTTAAGTAGCTGCAGGTGTAAAAAGTTGTGCAACCCAATGCATACATTGGATTTTGCATCCCCAGGAATGTAAATAGCTACGCAACCTACTGTCCAACAGTGTAATCCAGCATAATGGATTAATTCCAGTGCTAGCAGGAATTTTTGCTCCACAAGCATTATGTTCAATTTAGGCCACAGTGAATAACTTCCTCACTCTGCATCCAACAGATACGCCTTCTTTCAGTTTAGTTTTACTTGTGAAGCATACGTGTAAAGGCTTTATTATCAGAATTAAATGTCATCAATTCAAAAACTTTTTAATCCAGCACATAACATATCCATTCAGAAATTAATGATTGTGATACAAGGAAGGGACTGAGATCAGAAGCTTCTGCTAGAGAAGGCAAATGGAGGAATGCAAATTCAGCTAATTCACTATTTCCCTTACAGACCAAAATTTCTCCTCACAGGAATTCTAGGTCCAACCAGGTACAACATCCATTTCAATTATCCAAATATGGAATGCACTAATTAATACATATACATTGTTGTTGTTTAGCTGTTAAGTCGTGTCCGACTCTTCCTGACCCCATGGACCAGAGCATGCCAGGCCCTCCTGTCTTCCACTGCCTCCCGGAGTTGGGTCAAATATACATTAATACATATTAATACAGATGTTCCATAACCCCAACAAATAGTGGAAAGCCAACATCATTCCCCCCTCCCCCGCTTTCTGCTACCAAAGTCTTTCAGAGAGAGGGAGAAAGGGAGGGAGAATATTACTTATTTGGAATTGAGGGAAGTTCTCATACCCATATAAAACTATGAAAATAACTGCTGGTAACTATAAGAACTTACCCTTTATGAACATAGGTAGTAGCATTATCTGGCTCAAGATCAATACATTTATCATACATTTCATCAGCTTTGCCAAACTGTTGTTGATCTGTTAGAGCCTGCATTAAACGAATAATGAAATAAATGTATGAAGCAATTAATTTATATCAGAATCCATCCACATTCTCTTCATACAGCTCTCTAATAATAAGCATTCACATATATTTACATAAAACATTACCATATTACTCACGTATTAGGCACTAAACTTATTTATTATAATAAACAATAATTATTATATGATTACAATACATAGTAGTCTCCTCAGGGGAATAAAGATATTTGTACCTGAGCAAACAGTGCATAGCCTTCAGCACATCTTGGAAACTTTTTAATAACATCCTCAAAGCCTTTCATCGCTGCTTGTACTTGCAAAGAATTACTTCCAGTGTATGCCTGACGATACTGTAAATGAAAATTGGTGTGTCAAAAAAATGACAGGAGATTCCTATTTTATTACTATCTAATCCCAAAGCAACAGCCTGTACTTTCTTAGGTATAACTCCTAGATATACTGAAAGGAATACAGTAGTTTGAAATAATATTTGATACTTCAATTTACTTTAAAACACTGATAAAGTTCCAAATACTCACCAATGCAAAACATTTTTGTGCTTGTGCCAAGGCAGAATCTGGTCGCAAACGGATACATTCATCGAAGTCTTCTACAGCTTCTTCAACTTGGTCAAGCAGAATTTTTAGCTAACGCACACAGACAAAACGGCTGAGCACACCATTACAACCACAGCTAGAATATCATTACCAGAAAAATAGATCTATCCAGTTATAGTATAAAACTGGCATTTTGCATGGATGATTTCACAGCTGACTTTCTTCTCTTTTTTAATCTCTCCACCTTGTTTAGCACTGATCTTATACTTCTGCAAACTTTCTGACTGTTTTAAAGTAGAGCTATCTTAAAACTAAACATAATTTAATGTACAAAGTGAGCAACCACCAAATTTTTCCCTCTTACCCTTTTATTCTCACTTTATCTAACTGGAAAGAAAGTTTTAACAAGATGAAATAGCACCTACCTGCCCCCTGTGATGATAAACATCTGCATTCTGAGGATCAATATCAGCTGCCATATTAAAATCTTGTGTAGAGAGCATAGGCTGTTGCTGTTGCATATACATGCTTCCCCGTTTGATAAGAGCATTAGCACGAAGCTGTTATAAAGAATAATGAAAATTATATTTTGATACAAAGCTCTACTGCTAGACAAAGTTTTCAGCATTTTTGTTCTGATGATGCAGTTTTGATTATACTGTACCTGGTTTTACAACCAAGGCTTGATATTCCTACCATTTAAATTGGAGTGTATGGTTGTTTAAGGAGCAACCACATATAATCTAAAGATTGATTCTGCTTCATGACAAGGAAAAGAGCTAAGCATAAGTGACAAGAAAGTAGCAAACTAAAAAGAAAGAGCAGCTATAGCTGCAGTTAGCTGAGACACCCTGGATCCAAGAGCTTCCCACGGGGCAACCAACTGAAGATGGGATGCTACTGAGGTTTCGTTTTCCCCACATCTTCTATGACAGCAATGGCTGATCTCCATTTCTGGGCTCTGGAGGGCTGCTCCTATTCTCACAACCCCCACTCTCATTTTTTTCTGTATAAAAATTTGGTTTTGTAGTGGAAAAACACTGCATCCTCAAATGGCAAAAAACCTTTTGAAAACTGGAGTATGGGGATCTGCAGAAGTCACTCAAAACATAGTAAAAAATTTCCTGGCACTCCCTAGAGAGGGCATAAAATTGCTGGGCATGTGGGTGCCAAATTTTGACCCCTCAAGAGCCAAATTTAATCCACCCATATTCTAAATAAATAAAAGAGCTGTTAAAAATCTGGTAGAGATGCAGGGACCACTTTCATTATCCTCTACCCTGTTCCCCTGAAAATAAAACCTAACCTGAAAATAAGCCCTAGTATGATTTTTCAGGATGCTCGTAATACATGCCCTTCTCCAAAAATAAGCCCCAGTTAAGTGAAACCTCAGCCTCCACCAGAAGGTAGCAACCAGAAAAAGATGACACGACTGTATTTGAGTAAATATAGATTGCTGTACATGAAAAAAATAAAACATCCTCTGAAAATAAGCCCTAATATGTTTTTCGGACCAAAAATTAATATAAGACCCTGTCTTATTTTTAGGGAAACAAAGTATATTCACATCCTTAATTAAAAGAAACCTCTATATGTCAGCCTTCCTCAAGACAGTGCCATCTGGAATGTAACTCTTACCAGTCCAAGCAACATGGCCAAGAGAAAGGCCATGCTGTCTAGGAATGATGAGTGCAATGCAGAACATCAAGATGGTCTTGGTTTACTAAAGGATGTTCTATGCCCTCAGCCACCACCATCCTCTACTGAAGACAAAATTTAAATCATTCAGCCAAAACACAGTGGTATTTGCTCTTCCTACATCCTTAAAAAACTCAGTAGGACTTAATCTGGCTAAAGGCAATTACTATAAAAAGCCAGGACTGAACATTTGGGGACATCAGATTGGGAGAAACTGTACTAAGTCTCAGGGATGAATCGCTGGCAGCATTCAGCAGCTGGAATGAGGTATGAAGCAACATAAATCTCCATAAATAACTGTTATCACTGGGAGAAATTAACAAATGCTACTGCTTCAATATTACAAGTGTTTCAGCAAAACCCACACATCAATCACTCACCTTTACATTAGCATCTTCCATGCCAATAACCTGATTCAGATCAGGTTTGGCAGCATTTGCATTACCGATAAGCAGGTAGAATGTGGCTCGTAACAGCAAGGCTTCCGCCATATATTTTCCTTTAGCCTCAATTTCTTTAGTACACTCACTAATTATTTTGTCATAGTTTTCTTCTTCCATGTATTTCTTTGCCTTTAAATAGCCACAGCTGAAAACAACATGCACAGCAGTCATTAATATGTGGGTATGGAGGGCTCTCCAATTTCTAATCAAATTCACTCCCTTTTCACTTTCATCTGCTCCCTCATGGTACCTCCAACATGCAAAATGGGTACCTCTGAAGGGGATGTCATCTAATTTCAAAGCTTAGAGAGCTGTAGGATAATTGCACCAAGACTATTACTGTCTCTGTTCCAAAGGCTCAAACCTAACAGGCTAGGTGGAAAGTATGAGAAGCACACAGCGCTGAAATCATCTTTCAGTGAAATCAAAGAGTGAAACCAGGCTATAGCTGCTATGACTTCCAAAATAAGGAGTGGATTTTGTGGGTGGCTCTTTACATTTCTTACTACAGAGTAATGCCTCTCCCAGTGAATAAGCAGTTCAGTCATATGTAGCTGATATGATTGCCATGCATAGCTAGTCCTCACCATGTAAGGAAGCTCTTATCACTGGAAAGGGAAAGGGCACTCAACACATGCATCTCTGCTCATTTTTATAAGACTATGGGCATCAGAAGCTTGACCATTGTATTCAAGTGTATGTTTCAGCAACCTACTTTTCTTTTACTACAGAAGCCTCTCCTTCTTTATCCTTATCTTCATCAGATTTCTCTCCCCTAAGAAGAGGTTGGGAAATAATATCATCCGTGAAAGAGCTGAAGTAAGATTTGATAAACTGTGGTGAAGGCATCAGAGGTTCCCGATTCTGTAAAAACATGAATTATTTTATTCCTATAAAGCCAATTACAAGTCAGGCAATGCAATTAACTTAATGTATAATTTAATTACACATGGAGGAAATTCTACACAATAAGTACATAAATACAATAAGCATTAAGTACCGAAAAAATACATAGGATATAAGAATACTGAAATCTATGTCTGTAAGGATAAAGGAGAATTTTTATAAATTAGTTTGGAGATGGTATTTAACTCAAGTAAAATTAAAAGAAATAGATGCCAATTACTCTAAGCTGTGTTGAAGAGGATGTCAGAAAATATGTACTCATTTTCATATGTGGTGGAAGCGTGAGACTATATTGAAATTTCGGTAATTGGTTTTCAAGGAAATAAATTAAATAACTAAATTAAATTTGAAAGTATGTCCTCCAATAGCATTTTTATCAATATTTGATAAGGAACAATGTAACTGGACAACTAAGGAATTAATTCCAAATTTATTAACAGTAGCAAAATAGTATCTACCCTGTTTCCCCTAAAATAAGCCCTATCCTCAAAATAAGCCCTAGAATGATTTTTCAGGATGCTCGTAATATACACCCAACCCCCAAAATAAGCCCCAATTAAGTGAAACCCCGCCCTCCACCATTGTTCAGCAACCAGAAGAAGATGACATGACAGTATTTGAATAAATGTAGATTGTTCTGCATGAAAAAATAAGACATCCCCTAAAAATAAGCCCTAATGTTTTTTGGGGGGGTTTTCTGAAGCAAAAAATATAAGACCCTGTCTTATTTTTTGGGAAACGGGGTAGGTACTGGGAAACAACATATGGTTTTCAGTTAAATGAATGTTATAAAGATCATTTACTCTGCAGGATTTTGAACTGAATTAAAAATCTGCTTAAATACATTCTATGATAAGTCATTGTAGAATTATATATTATAAACAACAATATAGCTATTAATGTCATACCTTGTATTTTTCTTTGGCCTTTTCTTTCCCAAGAAGTTTAAGAACTTTATCAGCTAGCAACATACTTTGTTGATTTTGAAAGCCTTCTAAAATGCACACAGCAGTGACATCTGGGAATTAAGAGTAATAAACAAAGCTATTGATTACTAGCTTACTAATGCTTGAAATATACATGAGTGCTGAAACAGCTGTAAATTATAATTTATCCCTCTCAAAGTATGCTTCACATACTTTTTATTGCCAAATAATTTGCAAACAAACTGATATTCTGTTGCTCAATCTACAGCCAAAAATTTTATCATTACACACTGAAGGGTTGGAAATCCAGAAAGAATGCATAAGTAATATCAGAGCTAAAACAATTTTCTATTTCCTCAGAAACCAAATTGAACACTTTAAACTTCCTTCAGGGTACAATATACTCACCCTCCAAACACTCTTTCTTGTTGTCTAGTTTTTCATGTGCTTTTGCACGTCTAAAAAGCGCTTTCACATATCTGGGATTAAGCTCAACAGCCTTCGTGCAGTCTTGGGCTACTTCTTTCCACTTTTGCTGTAGTTAAAAACAATTAAACAAATGATTAAATGATTACACATAAACTGTTTTTTTGAAAACAAATATAGCACTTCCACAAAGTTCTGAGCAATTTTAACACTACTAGTGAGAAAGATTAACTATAGTTCTGATCTGGAATCAACTTGCCTTCAGATATATCTCCACAATTTTTAAATTCATAATCCAACAGTGTGAACCTATGCATGTTTACTAGGATGTATATCTAGTGTAACTTAGGCTGCAACACAATGGCCTTTTTGGAGCAGGCTAGAGCGGTCTGAGGTTGGGGGGGGGAACGGCAATATGTCATTTGGCGCAATCCTCACATTCAAATGGCATACTGACCTTAAGCTACCATATTTAGTTCAGCTCCATCCGCTGCAAATTTCTAGTATCCTGAAGTGGCTTAATAAATAAGCCACTTCAAGATCTGGGCAAATTAAATACTTCTCCTGCTCCTCTGCAGTGGATAGAGGAAGTGAGGATTTTATTTGCTTCTGGCAGATCATCACTGCTGCACTGAATCACTTAGATTAAATTAAAAATATATTGTCTTGGCCTTGTGTGTAGTGCCGATCAAGAAACTGCTAGCAGCTACAGTTTTGATCAGCACTTCACACAAAGGCAAATATTTTTTTATAAATTTAATCTAAGTAACTCAGCACATTAGTCTCAAAGAAGCAAAAATAAAATAAAAACATTGAACTAAACTACAGCACACACCCCTACACCAAAAACAAGTGCTCAAAAAAGTACAGGTAGGGATGCTCTGAGGATGGAGTAGTTCATGCTAGTGATCTGGTCATCTGATCACTAGGAAAAAAAGAGTGAACCAACCCACTCTCAAAGCATACCAAACAATGGGACAAAAGCCCATCCCAGCATATGTATTTTATTTACAAATATAATATAAACACTTATATAAATATGTAGAAATACATATTTATTGCATTTATATAAAAAGTATCAGTATCTTATTGCTAGTCTCTACCACAGCAGACCCACTACAAGTCACAATGAATCAATATTTCTGTTCTAGCTGAGAATAGCAAGAGGGTCCAGGCCACAACACTTCTCTTGTCTTGTATTTCTATTACTTGTAGCAGGCAAATTCCCACTGTTATAACTGATCACCAGTTTCCATAAGAACTCCCCTTTCCTATACACTACAGTGAGCACTTATGTACAGGGAGAAGGGCAGGGGAGTTACATAATCGGCTCTCTGGACAGTAGTTGGGGGCTCCTGCAACTCTCCCGTGAGAGCACTTTGCTCCCTACACTCCTCCCTGGAAAGAAGAAGACAGAAAGCAGCCAAATTCCTGGCTGAAGTGATGAGGAGGGGGGAAACACTATTCAGTCCATAGAGGCCTCTGAGCAGGTTATCTAGCCCCTCTGCCCTTGTTAAAGGTGTCCTGTTAAGCTAAAATGCCCCTCTTCTTTTTCATAACAGTCTCACTCTCTTTTAAAACTTATCAAGAATTTTGTCTTGGTCAATAAAGCCATTTAAACTATTACCTTGACCCTTTATCGCGAATATGAAACATAATTATTTGCTATGCATGTGTTAATACACTTTGTTGCTTTGTTTTATTGCACTGCAAATGAATAGAAATGTGCATTTCCCAGCTTTAGCAGCTCTTTTTGGATGAAGAACTTTATTAATTTTTTGCAGCAGCAGTTTCAATAAATTCAACATCAATCCTACACAGTATATACTCACTGGGGCTTAAGATGGAACAAAAGCCCCATTGATTTTAATTGATTTTGTCCAAGTAAATTGACACTTATCTGGTCCTTAATCTACTCCCTATAAAACTGTAATAGGCCCAAACAGACATTTAAGCTGCAAAAGCAAATGGCATAGCTGTAAATGTTCAAAGAACTGTGATCTTTAAAAACAAAAGCACATCAACCTCCATTCTGAATGTCCAGTCACACAACTGATACATTTTATATGATTAATACAAGCAGATATTTTAAAAAGATGCCACAAGGGTTTGTGCGGATTCTGCAATTCAGACGTTATCAGAATCATTTTGTAAGCCACAGAAAACATTTTTAATTAGAAGAATTTTGAATTCCAGGAATTATGGAGACCAGAAAACAAATACTCCTAGAAATAGATGAAGCTGGTATTTACCGTATTTTTCCGTGTATAAGCTGTCCCCTTGCATAAGACGCCCCCCCCACTTCTCTAACCCCAAATTAAGAAATCTAAGTGGGGCTTAGCAAGTGTAGGGGAAAAGGGATCAAAGCACTGCAGGATCCCTTTGATCCCTGCTTTCCCTTCCACTTGTTTATGTTCTCTTCTCAGTTTACTTCTGTATATAAGACGACCCTCAATTTTTAGTCTAAAGATTTTAGTCAAAAGTATAGTCTTATACATGGAAAAATACAGTAAGTTGCCAATATATATGATGTGCTGACATTTTAAAATTCATACCAACTGCTCATACGCCGCAGCTCTGTTCTGGTAAAAGGTAGAAAGGTCAACATTCTTCTCAGGGCGACATAAACTGATGGTTTCAGTATAGCACTTAATGGCTTGCTCATATTTCCCAGCTTTAAAATACTTGTTGCCTTTGTTCTTTGCCGCTTGGGCTCTATCAAGAGGACTCTGGATGGGGGGAAAAAGAAAACAAATATTTACTATTCATATACATTCTCCAGAGAGTAAATATACAGAACAGTCTTGCGAAAGCTTTAAAGTGGGGTGGGCAACTGCAATTACCATCATTTCTCAGCGCTAGCTATGATGTTTAGGTCTGATGGGAATTGTGAGCCAACATCTGGAAGGTAAAATGGTGCCAACCCCTTCTTCAAAGTCTACAAAGACAGCTTACAACTGTTTGGTTTCTCTACACTCAGGGGTCGCAGCATATTCAAAGTACAGTATTGTACTTTCCTATACAGACTGCAATCACCAGTGAGGCAACTTTTAAAAGTCTCTGTTTTAAAAACTAACCTCAGCTTCAAAGTGAATTCAAAGTCTCTGCTTCACTGTTTAAGGATACAATTCTGATGGACATCACTCACCTGCTCACTACTGGCAAGTGTCTCTTATCCCTTGGCTAGAGGGAGTCACAGCAGCACACAAGAGGTTCTCACTGGTCTCCCAAACAAGCTGGCTTTGGAGCTTTTCCTCATGAGATAAAGACAGCAGGTGCCTTTGTCTTGGTAGTCAAATAAAATCCCAGCGGAAACAACTAGGGAACCATTTATCTCAGGCCCACAAAAACCTCTCAAGATAGATTCCATTTCCTGTGTTCCTCACTTTTTTGTTTCTTCACAATATTCACTTTATTGTATAAACAATCTGATCTCTCAAACACAGCAGAATGCAACTGGAAGGAATACTATAGTAGAACTGAACTTTTCAGAAAGTATATTATAAAAGATGAATGCCAAAAGAACGTGCCTCGACCTCTACTATTCCTTCATGCTCAGTGCTTATAAACAAAGCTTCTGTTCTCAGGACAGTATCTTCTCAAGCAGAACAAGGAATTTGCTGTCATTCAAAAATCACACTCTCACTGCACCCAAAGGCTATAATAATTCATTTCAGAGACATAAACACATATCTTTGTTTTTCTTTGCCGCTTGTTAGCTTTTAAAACTAATAAATGCAGGCAAGAATCCTCTTCTGCAAGATGATTACTACAATTCCAATGACTCATGCTTTGTTTTCAGCTATTTTATTACTTTTAAGTCAAAAGACTCATCTAGTTAAAGCCAGTTTTCTTTTTACCTACTTGCAATATCTAACACATGAGTTATTAAACTAAATCTGCTGCTTAGGGAAACATTTAAATTTTAAACTCATCCTTAAAGAATGAAGTTTGACAACTATTTATACAATTATGTAACAAAGAATCCATTTCTAATCCATTTATTTAGAAAGAAACTTGCCATTACAGCTAAATGTTGGCATGCAACACAGATAATGCTTCTTTGAGGAGCATCATATGGACAAATCCAGTGAAGGACACTTTTTGGTGGATGTATTAGAGAAAATTTGTCTGTTAAATCTTTTATGTTTGTACTTTTAAACTACATTCCTGATGTTTGGAAGTTAACTAGTGGTGAGTGTGGTTAGATTTTATCAGCTCTTACCGCTGCCAAAAGACTTCAAGCTAAATAGTATATACCATTCAATGGTCAGAAGTTCTTACTGTCCTAGCTTCACATGAAAAATATTTTATCAACACCAACTCTAAACAAAATCCTTTTCAGACGTATGGTTAACTTACAGTACTGTACATGCCCAGTCCATGATTGCATTAATTTGTATATTACCTCTTATTTCCTCCCTTCTTTCTTACTCACTTTTGACGTGAAATAACTGATCTGAATCTGATACAGCATTTCACGCAATATGTTCTACATACAGACTGAACAGAGATACAGTGGTGCCCCGCTTAATGATCACCCCGCTCCACAACGAATCTGCTTAACTATTAGTTTTTTGTGATCGCTTTTGCGATCGCAAAGCGATGTTTAGATAGCAAAACAAAACGGTTTTTGTGATCACTTTTGCGATCGCAAAGCGATGTTTAAATAGCAAAAAAAATGCTTTATGGTGATCGGTTCCCTGCTTTGGGAACCAATTTTTTGCTTTACGACGATCAAAACAGCTGATCGTTGGGTTTCCAAAATGGCCACCCACTATTCAAAATGGCTCCCCGCTGTGTTAGGGATTGATTCTTCGCTCTATAGGGAGGAGAAAATGGCCACCCTATGGAGGATCTTCACTTTACAATGAGATATTTCGCCCATTAGAACGCATTAACCGGTTTCTAATGCATTCTAATGGGCTTTTTACTTTCGCTTGATGACGATTTCGCTCTACAGCAATTTCGCTGGAACGGATTAACGTCGTCAAGCGAGGCACCACTGTGGAACATAATAAACCCATCTAACCTCTTTACCAATTCAAACCCATTGTTTCTCCATATCCTGTAGCTTCTTGTTAAAGCAAGTTATAGATCACATATTGTGACACATCAATTTTTTCTAGAATGACCCATATGGTCAAAGGCTTCATTATGATCTATAAAACACAGAGTGATTTTCTCCTGAATTTCTTTGCTACACCCAACTAGCTAATATATATGTGCAATATCTTTAGTGCCTCTTTATTTTTAGAATCCAGCTTAAACATCTGGCGTTTCTTTCTCTTTGTATGGTAAACCTTTTTGCATAATTTTGGGTATCATTTTACATGCATGGGAAATTAATGCAGCAGAACTATAATTGGTGTACTCTTTGCCGTCTCCTTTCTTTGGGACCAGAAAGTATAAATACCTTCCAGTCTCCAGTCTGTTGGACAATGTTTTGTTTTCTATATTTTTAGCACATTATTGTTAGGATTCTAATAGATTCAGATCTCTGAAGCTTGAAGTAGTTTTAATGATTTCCTAGCTACTCCTGATGATTTACTTCTTCCAATAGCTTTGACAGCAGTGTTCACTTTGCTTCCTAAAATAGCAAAGTGAAAGCTCCTGTCAAAGCTACCTTCATAATGGGATTCTTTTTTAACGGAATCTATCACCTTTGCATCATTTTCTACATAGTTAGTTCTTCAGCATCTTGTCCCCATCTTTTTTTAATTTTACCTGCATGTGACAATTTTTCCTGTTTATCTTTCAACATCCCTTTTCTCAATTTCTTGCAAATTGCAGAAGTTTCATTTCTTATAACAAATTCAAAATGTGCTAAAACATTTGTAACACGTATAACATGAATAAAACATTTTAAATTAAAAGTATAATCATGTAGTGCTTTTTTCAAAAATAAAAAAGCATTTCAACAATGAAAAACCTAATTTAAAGGAAAAAGATTTAAATGAAAAATGAAATTTAAAAAATCTGTCCTATATCTGTGTCTACAAGTGCACATCATTAAACACCTCCCCAATAAAAACACAGCATACTGCTTCTAGGCAATATTTAAGCCTTTGAAAAATAAGCATTTAGAAGGCTAAGTGAGCTGGAGAGTGTGAAAAGCACAAGGATTTTCCTTTCCTGCATATATGGATGTTAATATTTCAATTTATACCCAAACTTTAAGTTTACTAGATAGAATAAGAGCAATACATTTTAAAAGAACACATTACACCCAATTCAATACTTAGTGCCTATTTTGCCTAATACTGAAGTCCTGCCATTCAGCTACCAAAAGAGGTGATTAAAAATTTTTTATTGTTTTGGTAAGAGAATGTAAATATTCATATTTAACAGACCTTCAATCAGCCTAAGAAACATAATTCATTCTAAATTATATACCAATTGTCTAGATCACACTATACAACACTTTGTATGTTGCAGAACAGTTATTCCACTAAGAATAAAAAACAAGAGTCAGCACTTTAAACACTAGCAGGTTTATTTCAGCCTGAGCTTCCATGGATTACCATCTATCTCATCACACACGTGGAACAAACTCATTAAGCTACAGGTTTACAGACAGAGTATAAGACAGATCAGTGGGAACCAAGTCAAATGGGAAAAAGTGAATGACAATTACATTGGTAGTGCACTTTCAAAATGACAATAATATTAGCATCAGCAAACTGCTGGACAGCTCAGTGGTTTAGGTATTTGGCTGAGGAGCTAGAGGTTGGGAGTTCAATTCCTCACTGTGTCTCCCTGACCCTGTGGACTCAATGATCCACAGGGTCCCTTCCAGCTCTACAGTTCTAATACCAAATCAGCAATAATCAAAATGCTGATTACATAAACATCTTGTCAACAGCAATCAGGTGGTTTTCAAGAAATGTGGTGAGCTTAGATTCCATCAATAGAAACATTGTGGTGATAACTATATTAAAAACTGTGAATTAATCTAGAGTATTCATATATAATATACAGCAAATCTTTGGCCCTAATGTAATCCTTTTGATATACACAGAAATTTGTAAATGTAGACCGCTGAGTTCAACAAAGCCAACTCTGTCTTTCTATTAATCTAGAGTATTCATATATAATATACAGCAAATCTTTGGCCCTAATGTAATCCTTTTGATATACACAGAAATTTGTAAATGTAGACCGCTTTCAACAAAGCCAACTTTGTCTTTCCCTCTCACCTTTTTCTTTGCAATTCTTCTGCTCCACAAATTACTCCAAGATCTGTAACAGGCTAACACAGCTACCTCTTTGAAAACACTCACAAATAAGTCCTTATTATGTGTGCAAATATTGCCTCAGACTACTAATCCAAGGTATGGAGCTACTGAAAGAACATTAATGTTCAGTGAGAAACTTGAGCAACCACCAGTACCCCCAAGTGCTATCTTCATAAATTATTGGTAACAACAAACAATAAAAGCATCTCATAGTCCAAAAGTTTCACCACCATGGAAGTACCAGAAATGCTACGAATAAGCAGTTACTAATTCAACAAGACAGTGACTTTTATTTTAACCAGAGACGGTTCTTAAGTATTTACCACTTGACCTGCACTGCACTCTCTAATGATTCACAAGACATAATAATGTCCAAATTCCACATCATGACAGGTGCTGAAATGTGTTTCAAAAAACAAAGCAACCAGATCGACAATTTATTAATCTAGGTCCCTTCAGGTGGGGAGATCCTCTGTAGAACTGATGCTAGC